TTTTTTTTTTTTTTTTTTTTTTTTTTTTTTTTTTTTTTTTTTTAATTTTATGCTTTACGTACAAGACATACATGAGGTGTTACTCTACGTGTCAGACTTCATATGAAAACCTTGTTAACCTAGGTACTTGTAATTGTGGCATGTAATTAATCAGCTCGTCTGGATTCTGCACGGAGCAGCCATGACAGGTTGATGTATCGATCGGTCCGATAAACTCGCGAAGCAACCGTTGAAATGACGGATCATATCGATCCTGCGATCCATGTGAGTCTGGAGTACATATGATCCTCTGTACAAGTAAATAGTTACTATAGAGTAGTGCCGTGAGTACAAGTACAAGTACCTGTGCATTCTCACGTTTTTACACAGGCACGCTCTTACGTATGGTACGTACTAGTCTGCAGCGGACCGAAATGGACAGCGACAGATGCAACTAAATCGATGCAGACGCAGGTCACCACATGGGGAAAGAGGCAATCTTCCGATCGCAACAAGTACCTGTAAAGTACCGTGATTACGTCATATGCAGGTTGAGTGTGGCGTCCAATGGAAGCAGAAGATCTGTGTGACTGCTGCAGCTCAAAGTTTGCAGTACGTACAGTACGTACAGAGTACTGTACTCTGTACACACGTGTGTACAGATATAAAGCACACACAATCGCCACAATGGATCTTAATTGGTAATAGTCATCGTTGAATGTTTGTTTCTCTTCAGTTCGAGGAGTGACAATGATGTCAACTAAACAATGGCGGCTATGCCCGAGATCTCAAGCAAGGGATGTTCCATGGAACGAGGTACCTGTACTGTACTCTGTATGAGTATCTCATTATTATACAGTGCATTGCACAGCTAAACTCAGGAAACTCACAACTTCTAGAAATTGAGCACGGGAAGGGAAAAAAAGTAAAAATGCTCAAAAAAGAAAAGAAAAAAAAACAAACTGAGAATCTGAATTTTTTGACTTCCCATGGCCTCAGATCTCCGATCCATGCTACTGTACTTTCTTTTTACTAGTTAGTCTTTAGCGTCCATCGGCTGCCGCTGGTTTGTTTCGGCAAGTTGCTACGATTGATGGGGGGTGTTCAGGTCGTCGTTCGGAAAGGAATGCCAGCTGTCCTATTGATCATTATTTATTCCATTATTCTCAAGACTAGTCACGTTGGCTCTTCAGCTGAGTCGAAGCGAGTATATTTATTGGATTTTGACATTCCTGTATTATATTAGTGAGATCTGAATCTGTTTCTGGTATTCAGCATTATGGATGGAATGTTAATAATTGCCCCTGTTCGTACTTGAACGAGTAATGCTCTGTATATCTTTTTATTTAATCTTTTTATTTGATTCTTTAAATTTTTTATTCCCGTACCAGATTGCGATCTATGGATCTTACTAGTGTATTGTCTGTGGATAAATGCCAAATGTATATCCGATAAATTAATATCAAGAGAGCACATAGAAAGTGTAATAATACGGTAATACATACCCCTGGCCCACCGATACTTTTTCTGATCCCAACCCCCACCAGTGGCTGTCGAAGATCCGCAGTTCGCAGCCCGTAAAGTCACTGTAATTCGCCGTAACTTTAACAACTTGACGATCGGGACACCCCGTACAGCACTAGTACAGAGAGACGAAAGAGTAGTGACTTGTCTCGTGCGGGTATCGTAGATGGTTTTATTATTTTAGTTTCTCTGCGCTTCCGTTTCTTATTTTCTTCTTTTCTTGTCTCATCTGGCATTCCGACATCTCCCTCTTTCTCTCTCCTATTATAATATTCTTCTCTATCCATCAGATACATCCCTTCCCACGCGACGCAATCCATCCCTTGCACCTTGCATTACTTGCACTGCCTCTCCTTTGCGCCTTACAGTTCTTCTTTTCTTCTCTCTCTATCTCTTCTCTCACTCTTCTGGCTTGACTGGATGCTCTTCCCCCAGTCCGTTCGCCCCATTCAGATCTGATCTGTCCGCCGCCCTCTTGCGGGTGTGTGCTGTACTTTTATTGCATTTCACCTTTCTTTTTTTTCCCTGTTCTTTCTTAATCCTGTGACCTCGCTATTTCCATTCACACGCGATCGTTCACCACCGCTCGAGTCATTCTACTTCACCACTTTCATCTCTTCTACAGAGTATACCATACCATACGGAAATCTCTCGGTCATCTCGTTAAGCGAGCCGGCCTCCCATCTCCGCAATTGCCACTACTCGGGCAATTTCAACTGCTGTGATACTTCTTCCCGCGTGTTGACTGAAGAAAAACACCCTTATTACTCCATATAATCCAAGCGAACGAGACCAAAAAAAAAAAGGAGAACTTACTCGAACCGGTCTGACCAACTTCGCTTCCGAACCTTATCGTTCCCCTTCGATCATCTCGGGGATTACGTGTTTTGGTCGCCGTTGACTCAAAAGTGGATGAGATTGGATACCCGAATTCTAGAAGACGACATTCTTTGGTTCTCAACCGACCGTCATGGGGTCTTTGGATGCTGGGCCGAGGCATAGGTTGGTTTTACTCTTTTCTTTTTTCTTTTTTTGTTCCTTTTCTCCCGACCCACTTGTGTCCATGGTGTCACCGTCTTTTGTGTGTTTTTCTGGGTCATGCTCCCTTCATATCCGAGTTAAATGCGGCGTGGCAACCGGTGTGGAATTTGGATGATTAGCTAACGATTGACCTTCGCCCGTTCCAGGGACCACCTGCCAGCTATTGGTTTCCTCGGTAAAGACGCAAAACATCCTGTCATCGCAGGAAGTATTTCTTCTCCTGCTCCTCTCATCAGTCCACCCATCATGTACTCGTCACAACCACCGTCCTATTCCTACACCACTCCGACCGCTAGCAACGGTTCGCTTCCGTCAGGCTACATCTCCCCACCGGAGTCGCGTCGCGCGTTGGAGGAAGAGAAGGAAAGACAGATCCAGCCGCAACGGCAGTCGCTTCCCTCGATCCATGAGGCATTAGGGAATGACAATCCGCTCTCGTATGGCGGCCCGCCCACATCCGCACCCGCCCAACAAGTTCATACCTCACAGGCGCCGCCGCACTCGACATCGCCAGGATTCACGCGGTCGGGGACAGAGGCGCCGACAGGGCCACCAGGGCCATCAGGGCCACCAAACCCATTCTCCTTTTCGCACCAGCATCACCAACAATTACAGGCAGAGGCGTCACGGTCGAGCCTGACATCCATCAACACTCAAGATTCCAGAACTGCATCCCTCCATTCGTTTAATTCGGGCAGGTCTCCAACACAGAGTGCAAAGACTGGCATTACCGCCCATTCAACATACGAATACAGTGCACCGCCATCTGCGGGGGGTATTGCATCGCCCAACGGGTATGCACCTCCGTATTCGCAGTCTTTTTCGTTCCAATCACAACCGACCGCTCCAGCCTATCCTTCTCATTACGACGCTCGTTACAGCGCATGGAAACAGGGTGCACCGGAGCCTGTGCGGGTGGAGGAAATCAAGAATGGGTATACTCGTTCGCCACTTCCAGCCCATGGTGACTCGATGAAGCGACACTTGGAGGTTTACGACGTGGAGGCTTCCCTCAACGAGGTGTGTAGCTTTCTCAATCAATTCGGTGGAATGGAAGAGCTAACAGAAACAGATCACCGAGATGAGCACCCGGACTTTGGATTTTTCGAGACACTACGCTACGAGGGCCCATCAAACACAGCGCTCGGGACCGGTGATGGGATCGCTTCCGTCATTGCACGAAGTTGAAGAAATGATTAATGTCCAACGTCAAAACCAAGAAGCGTTGCTGCGGATACGTAACGCGGTCCTTACCCAAGAACACGCCATGGCCGAACAAATGGCCCAACGGAAGGCCTACAAAACCAGTGGGGTGGACGAAGAGATGGCAATGTACCAGGAAGAATTCAAGGGCAGCGGGGGATTCGCTGGTGCAGAGGCCAAGAAGCGGAGAGGGGTACGATTTCAATCCTTTTTGCCATTCACTTAAACAGTACTAACGATACTAGAAAGCTGCGCCTCCTGGACGTTGCCACAGCTGCAACCGAGCGGAAACTCCGGAATGGCGACGAGGCCCTGACGGTGCCCGAACACTCTGCAATGCCTGCGGACTACACTATGCCAAACTGACTCGCAAGATGGGCGCGAACAAGGCGTCAGCATTGGGATCAAATCTGAAGCCTAAGACCCCACTGGGGTCAGCATCGCCTAACTAGTTCATTCTCTGTTGATTAAATCGGCGTTTGAAAAGGCTGGGATTAGATGGCGTTTTTTCTTTCTTTTTTTTTTTTTTTCTCTTCTTGAATACTTTGCACTGCACCATTACCCATTACCCTTATGAAACGACACGGAGTCACTTTTTGTTCTTTTATTACTATTATTATTATTATTGTCATTGGGCTACGGCAGGAGGTTGTTATGATGCAGCATGTGGATGTGGTCTGGTTTTGCTTCTGCTTCTGTTCTCATGGACTTAGTTTAATACCCTTGCGCGTTGTTGGGAAGGCATCCGATAGAATCGCTTGTCAATTGTGATATACGGTTGGGTTGATTCATCATGTTGCGAACTCTCTAGCTCATACTACATACTGTAAGAATGCGGATACGTGTTCTATACCACGTCCCTGGCGGGTGATTAACTTTCTGAAACGAGCACGACTCAGTGCACACGATGCGCGGTAGACGCAGATGAGATCTACTGTTGTCGATCGCGGCAATGGTCTCTTGCCGTGGTGGATATGCGTTCAAAGTTAGATGTATGTTTGTGCCTGGTTGGGCTGCGGTAGTATTGAATACAAATCCTTGCATGGCAATGCATCGCATCGCGTCGTATACCGTATCTCCAACTGCACAAACACTCTACTGACTAGTGAACAGTGACTAGCAAGGACTGGAACAAACTAAGAACAAGATCTCATCTCATCTGACCTGGCTTGATCTGATCTCGACAAATCTCACATGCCGATTCCACCAACCAACCAATCAATCATTTAAACAGTGTTCCATACGGATTTTAGCTACGGACTTAACAACGCAGCCAGCAGATCTCGGGATTTGAAGTAAAGGTTGATGTTTGGGTTTCAGTTCGTTGGGGTCTCATTTATTGATTGGGTTGGGGTTGGAGTGGAGTGGATTGGAGTATATTAATGTCACTGAGTCATGGTGTGGAATGATTTGTTAGGGTGCACTGTGGTGTGCACGTTTCTATGGAGTATCGAGGATTGGATAGAGGATCGACTATGCATACATCTACACCTACTTTACCCACGGAGTACACTCACCTACAATCTGAATCTTCGTCATCTCTGCAAACTACAGTACACTACACTACACCCAATACTACGTACGTAGTACGAGTATCCACCGACCCGACAACTTGGATCAGGTCGATCGAATCAAATCGAGCGGATGCCGGTGTTGGTACGATCACATCGCATCGTGCTTTGATTTGGAATTGTGTATCATGCCATTCCACACGCGGTTTCTATTATCACGGGGTATTTGTAAGGATAGGATTAGATAGGAAGGGCATGCGCCTGCGCCTCATTAATGCCTAGATACAAGTCGAACGACATGGCCCCGGAGAAGATTCGGGGAATGATCGAAAACAATCGAATACCGAGTTCGAATCTGAATCAGTCTACGGAACGGGGCGGAGGCGTATACGTATGGACTGCCACTCAGGGGAAATCCCGATCATCTTCGTATATCTAGGCGGTGCGATGAGATGAAATACGATGAGATGCGATGACCGAGATCTGGTGATCTTGCCATCCATCCACCGACAGTAGTACACACTTACAAGCACGGAACTCAAAACAACCTAGTCCATATGCATTGATAGTATGACGAGACGAGGATAAGACGAGGCTGAGGACTTGGATCAATGCACCATGTAAGTACATACAAGTACGTACGCACGCATGTGTCTGATCAGCTAGAGACCCACCGGGAATGATTTTCCATGATATGATTTGAATTAAATCTGAATTCCGCATTCCGCCAACGCTAATGACGGGGCAGCGCAGCAGGGTATGACAAATACCCAGTCACACCGAATGATTTTAGCGCGTGTCTGTGCAGAGTCCTGCATTGCACATCTGTACATCTGTACAGAAACTTTTACACGTACTCCAAGGAAGATCTAGTGATTCTAGCTTCCAGCTTCTAGCGTTTCCGCGATCGTAAAATGGATTCACTAGTTGCGGAGTTGCTCTGGTGGAACTAGATTTCTTGAACCGTGGTTGGAGACTGGGGATATGTGCCGATTTGGGATTCGTTACTTGTCTCTTTACTCCGATACGTATGAAGGAACTGAGTTTGTACCATGAACGGAAGATCTGATTGATGGATGGTTGATCTAACCCGAGACATCGGTAATTCATTGGTCAGATGACCCTTCGGTAGTTATTCTTTTTTTTTTTTTTTTCTATTCCGTCCTTATACTGTGTATGGAGTGGTGTAGGGGGCTTGATCCGGAATCTCACGGATATGAAATGATTGCGAATCTTGGTTTACTGGACTCGATTGGCTGGAGCTCTCTTGAATCATGCCATTCCCCTGGTACGGGGTTTGAGCCATGGGTTCAATCAGGTACAGAACTGCTGCCGTATGCGGAAACACCCCATTCTCACTTTTCAGTTCTCCTCGAGTATGTAGGTACTCCGTACATGTCAGATCCGCTGTAGATACCCCCTTGATGCATAGTACCATTCCTACAAGTACAAGTACACACCGACCCATCCCGATAAAGTAAATATATAGACACAGCGTCCGAGACAGCTGGCATACATATCCATGTACGGAGTATGTATGGATATGGGCGGGAGTAAGAACTCCACTTTTTGGATTAGTGAGACGAACGCACATAGATCGAACACGAGGGGTTCAGCTTGTTTCAGTATTTGCATTCTTCTCACCCTGTACAAGATGAATATCACCATATACAAATGTTAATACTGCCCCGTAATTCACTTGTACATCCCGTACCTGCACTCTCACACCTGCACCTACATATACGCATACGGGGCAGTATCATATAGCCGTACACCCGTACAGAGTATCGATCTCTGGTTCGCCGATCTGCCCCCACCCGCGCTAAATACTTACTACCTATTGGCTGGAACTCGTAGCCGCGACATGACCAGTTTCGTTTTCTCTTTCTCCGCCATTCGCGTCTTCGATTCTTTGGATCTCGGCGTACACCGTAACCTATGTACTTCCAAGTTTTCGATGGCTTGCTGAAAAAATGGATGTTGACTTAATATGTACAAGGTAAAGTAAAAGTAACGGCGACCCCGATACTGGGTACATATTCAGCTGAGGCTATGCTACTCCTACAGGCTGCAGTGAAGGGGCTGAAAAATCACCCTCAGAAGGTTGGCGCTAAGGGGTTGGTGTGCGTTAGTAAGATTGAGATTGATCTGAGATCTGTCTGGTATGAATGTGTATCGTATTTTTGTGTATTATTAGTAAGCCGGTAGTTACCAGTTTGTACAAGTTCCGCACGCTGCAGGGAGTAATAGGGCAAAGAGATCAGGAGATCAGGAGATCAGATCTCACGGTTGCAATCTGATCCCGTATGTTAGGGTTGAGTTTATCCCGTACTTGCTGTTGACTGTCCTGCAGAGAATGTATCATGTACAGGAAGAAGATGCTATGTCTGCAAGGAGTGCTTCTCGATGCGGGGTGAAGTATGGGATATGCATAGGGTTAAGGAGTAACTCGAATATACAGAATACGGGGTACAAGTATGGGATTCTCATGGGTAGGGCAGCATACTAGACTAACTATAGCAATACAATCTTGTCATCTCAGTCGTAGCATAGCAAATATGCAGTAATATCGCTCAATCGCGTGATTCGGGCTCAGGGCCACCTTATTCTCATCCATTTCAAACAACTTGCCGTCCTTTCAGGGCGCTTCAAGGGAGAAAAAAGGCCCACTTTGGCGAAAAGCCCATAACCGAGATGCCACCTCCCTCTCCGTTGTCGTCGCCCTCTGGATCATCTGCCTCCGAATCATCCATGTATTTACCTCATCCTCTTCCTCACCTTCATCCTCCTCGTCACTGCTCTCACCATCTTCACTCTCGTAATAATCACAACTGTGGATCTCAACTACTCCAGCAAGTTTTGTAATCCGATTCAAATCCCACCGCATCTCCAACAACCCCCACACCGAAAGCGGAAACTTCTTCGGTCGTGCGTCTCAAAAGTAACCCTATGACCCGACTCTATCTTCTTCTTACCAACAGGATCATACAATTCCACCTGCTTTAATGCTTAGAAGGGAATACAAAATGCTAGTGAGCAGAACAACCCTCTGGCACCTTTCTCTACCATGTTGCCGAGAAGGTTAGACACCTAGTACATCTCACAGAAGCCTGTTCCCTGGTGAATGGCTCTCCCTATACGCGCTTCTTTCCAAACATAAATGCCATGCGTCAAAAGGCGCAAGACGAATCAGCCAATTGAGAATGATCCGGCCTTTTATGGTCTTGAAATAAAGCTGGCCCATATGAACGAGTGAATGCGTGGCCCCTGTATTAGAATGGGTATTATCAGATCAAAAAATAAAAAAAGCACACCCTAAGGGTCCATCTCCGTCATATCACCAATGAAGACTCAAGGGCTAGCTCTAACCGCCGCCCACTCTCCTAGCGCCCAATTGCCGACTCGGCTCTAGAGCCTCCCTCGGAATACCGCCAGAGCTCGAAAAATGCCTGGTGGCCACCTCTTTTAATATAGGCCTAGTACTAAATCCGTGAAATCTGGTCTGCCACAAATCGACAAAGAGGCATAAACGGGAGAAAAATCGGAGGCGAGGAGAAATTCAGGTCATGGTGGCCAATCCAGTTTTTAAAACCTTCGTGCGAGAGGCTGCACAACTCCTGGATGAGGGTATAACTGAGCACAAGGGTACAAATTGAACATATTCCGAACATACAAAATCACTAGTAGATTGCTCCCCGATTTCGGATTCAGTCTTCTAGCAGTATCCAGCGCAGTCGGCTTGGTACAGCCCAGTGCCGCCAGTACAAGACCACTACATCGACCCGCCAGTACCAACCCGGCGCTCTCCTTTATAGAATTTCCGTTAAAATACGATCAGTAGTCGTTTACTCTGACAGTCCATGGGACCCGGGTTGGTCTTCTGAGAGCCTTGTTGGGCAAGTAGGAAATGTGTGGAATATCTGAGAATGGTGCAAATGCCGACAAGGAGATACCTGCTGCTCAGGTATTTTGAATGGGCTAATTTGAAGAAGGCATATGGAGCTAAAAGTCCTTCTTCTTGGGCTTTATTTAAATACTCATTTCGTTCAAAGTCTAAAAGCCTGGAACTGTTTGACCGAACCCGATACTAATTGGCTGCATTTCACACATACGTTATAGTGGTACGAAGGAGAGCCAGCATATCTATTCCAAAGGTTCTGGTACTAGTTATGACCCGACGGTTAGAATCCCCGCCTGATAGAATCTCCGCCTGGTACGCCAGGAACCTTGATGAAGGTTTGCAGAGGTGCCAATTAGCATCTACAATAGCCTGTCAGTCGCCTACATGTGTACTACGCTCGCTCATCTCGAACCCAAAAACCCGTCGATGAAGCGTTTTCATTAAAACCAAGAGAATAGAGGAAACTTAACAGATAGAAATAGATAAAACTCTCAAGAATATCTGCCAGGACGTAAGATCTTTAGTGAGTGCCACTTTTTTGTGGTAAGAAAGGCTTGATTCTATACGCGTATAGAAACATCTAACGGTGGGTCCGGCCTATACGCGTATTTTGATATAGAATCTAGATCCACCAAGACAAGATGAAAATAAAAAACAAAGTCTTTGATATTCAATGTGTGAAAAGCTTTGCTTATATAGCTACACACTCTTATTTGCGGTCTTGTCTTGTCCTAACTTGATAATATCTTTTCGGACAAAACCTTCGCGGCATGAATCACCTCGAGTCTCGTGCTTATAAATTCTGGAACTATGCTCCATCAATACCAGCGGCAGTCATATTCATGCTCGCATTCATCGTACTCACTAGCCCATCAACTTAGTCGAAATAATAGGCTATATCGGCCGCTGCGTGGCGCATAACAATACCACAACCATGGGACCGTATATCATCGCCAACATCTTCATCCTGCTCGGCCCCACGCTCTTCGCTGCTTCGATCTACATAACGCTGGAACGGCTGATCCGGCGGGTCCAAGGAGAGCATCTTTCACTTATAAGAGTGACACGTCTAACAAAGACGTTTGTCTGGGGCGGTATGCTGTCCTTTGTCGTGCAGGGCAATTCCTCGTCGCTCTCTGTACTCGGATACGCCCAGTGGCGAGAAGTGCTCGTGGTTGCCGGCTTGGCCATCTAGCTCATTTCGTTTTCGCTTTTTGGGTGACGGCCATTGTGTTCGCGAGACGGCTCCGGCGCTCACCCACTCCGGAGTCTGCGAAGCCTGGAATTCCCTGGGTGCGATCGTTGCACATGTTGTACGCTGTCAGTGCGCTGATTCTGGTGCGTTCGACATTCCGTATCGTCTAGTATGTCATGGGGAATGATGGGTATCCACTTGTTCATGAATGGACTATGTATATCTTTGATAGTGTGCCGATGGTGGTTGTCATGGTTATTTTCTTCATGTGGTATCCTGATCAAATGAGCCTTGATACCAATCCTGAGGGAGGCAAACCACTTACTCAAAGTTAGTCGTCAGTATGATGCTCGTTGCTGGTTATTTTCTTTCGATTTGGGTCTTTTTTTCTTTATTGCTATATAGACCAGGTGTTGTTGCTCAATTTGGCGCACTCTGGTTTCAAAATGTATATCTTAATCTCTTTCCACTGTCACGGAGTACGGGCATTCACCAACAACGCAAGATATATGTATACTTTGGCCTGCTTGAATATAGGGCAGGAACCCCCTTCGCACAGTAGATAGCGCAGCGCTGGCAGGCCCAGCTTCTTTCTTTTCTTCTCCATGTTAGTAATTCGACAGAGAGTCTACCAATGAATTTATATTGTTCAAGACTGTCACATCCACCTCATTTCAAATGCTGGACAGTGGACTCAGTGGCCTTATTGTCACGGAGCTCAGCCAGGTTATGGAACATCAACTCATGTGTTCTACCTAGGTAGCTATTGACGAGGATAATTGACATGAGGAAGGAAGAAAGGGGGTAACGCCATATTTATAGACAAAGCAACAAAGCAAACAACCACATCTCATGTGATAACCAGCCAACGTGACCAGGCTGTCACACTTATTATTGACCTGGAAAATCCCATATGTACCTCTAGAGCTTTCAACCTAAGGCTATGGGATGCTATCAAAACAAATGAGCATCAAAGGCAATATGGTCACATAATCCCCTAGTTGAAGAGTGGCCAAGGAAGAAAGCTGGTTCATGGTGCCCTGGGGGTAATTGAAACCATTCTAAATAATTTGCAGACCCAAGCCCATTTCGAGCAGCACACTTAAGAGGACTTAGGGCTTCATTTATTCACCCTGAAGAAACCAACTGGAGTTGCTATGTTTCTTCACACTAGTTGAAACACATCGATGCGAAATAAAGGACATCTTGCTTTTTGTCATGTTACTAGGTGGAAATATCATACCTGCAATTGAAAACATTATTATGTATGTACCTATACGAATTTGATTTTCTAGAGTGACCGTGACTTTCCCCTTCCGGATGCCACTGCGCCTATGAGGGTGCTCAGGGGCTTGCTCAGTGAGTATTTTCTGTCACAGGTCGGTACTCAGTGAGCACTCAGGGCATGCCCAGGGCGGTGCCGAGGTCTAATACGGATGGTATACGCTACCACATCTCCTACCACAAGATGGTATACGAAATGGTAGGAAACGAAGGATATATAAGGACACTCATTCATGTACTTAGCTTAGTTCTTCGCATTCAATACAAGTCATTCAGCATTGGTTACCTTCTAGTTTCCGACTCGTCTGCACTTAACCAACAACCCAGTATACATACTCAGTTGGCCTTGTTTCTCTATTCATTACCTTTACCGTTTCTACCTGTTGATTATCTTACAGAGCCTGGAGGGGGCGATATACCCATCGATGCATATGACTTATTGAACCAGACTCGGAGGGGCATTGAGCACACGATCACTTGGGAGACATTTTAGGGTAAGTGTCCTGTCTCGAAATACAACTAACTAGGACCCTAGGTACGATACGAGAGAAGCCAGGTTGTGACACATATGAGTAAATTGCTGGTGTAATAGCTAAGCTAGGACAATCCTTAAATATTCAGCCATTAGAGCAGCTATGCCAGCAATATTTGTGGATGACAATAGCTTTTGATATATATGTGTGTATCAAATGTGTTTGAGACAGCCAATGCCACCTTGACCTAACCATGGATTGTGCTGCAGCATTTTCATCCAAATAGGCGACTGATTAGTTAGGTGTTGGTTTAGTTATCAAGTATCTTCTAACCAATGATTACAGCCTAACAGCCTTTGACTATTACTTCTTTCTAATTCCAATTAACTTTAACTAAGTTATCTCTAAACATATGATTACTTAATTATACGGCAGATATCGTATCCGCCGACCAGGTAAAGAGGCGAATAATATTCGATATTTGTATTCATCATAGAAGAGATGGCGAATATCGCTTCCCCACTCACTTCCTCACTTATCGATTACAGTGGGATTGTTATTAAGTGACGTGACTCGCGATCCATATTCAGTGACGTGAGTGAGCTAGAAGTCAAATTTCCGGTAAGCTGATAACCATTCGTGATGATAAAAGCCTTATTCTGATCTATAGGACAGGAATATCGAGGATAATGGATATACGGAAAATCTTGACGAGCAAGCCGAATACCCAGACCTGTTTTATATGTGGGACGGGACAGTTATCACTTATGAGCAGGCTTCTCTATGCCTACGCGATGTTTTAGAGTTTATCGGGCGACTACGTACGAATAGCGCCGTGAAAGCTCTAGAAAGATTGAAAAATAGCGAACCGGATTCTCCCTCTTTCTCGTTTCGGACTCGCGATTATTCGGGGCCGTAGGTGGATTCCTTCTGTGATGGGGAATTATCGGTGCAAACTTTTCAGCAGGGCACCAACCCCAATTAGTTTCTTTATCCTGGCTCGTCGATTGCAGAAGCAGAAGGATCAGATAGCTATTAGCAAACTCTTTTACTCCTGTTCTATACTACTAGCACTTGGGAAGGATTTGGCCACCCGACGTTACCTATTGCTTTACCACTCGATCCTCCTGCGTCATCGCTTTTGTTTCCCTTGCAATCCACTGTGACTCATCTGTGATTGTCTCTCCCACGCACTATCTGGGAACATGCTAAGTCATCTCCAATTTATCCCATTGAGTCATATTTAGCATATATGTCACATAGAAGTTTCCTGTGGTGAGAGCTATATCCAGTCAAAACTGACACGCTCATCATACAACTTCGCTGAAGTCTGTGATATCCACCCGTCTGGATCTCGATTATTCCTGCAGGTCTGCTGCAAAGCAGTACTTCGGAACCATTCTGTGCCACTACCCGGCAGAGTGTTCCACACTTCGTCGCTGTCTGGCATGCAAAAGTCCAAGTCTCGCAGGGTTAGAAGTTCGTTTCTCAAACCACTGCTGCTGCCACTTTTGTTAGTCGAGTCGCTGCGAGTACACAACCGGCATAGTTTGTATAACGCTAGTCCGAATCGCTTTATTTCCTCGACACTCATCCAGACGAGCGCTATCGAGTCGGAAGAGTGGAATCTGGCGAGCATGTTTGGGTAGTTGAACAAGCCGAGCCGGCAGCAGGTCTCGACAAGAGAGGTAAGTAGTTCGTATTCTGAGTCCGGGAGCTGGAGCCGAAAGTTTAGATTAAAAGTGCTGTCTTGCTTGGCAACAAGAAGAGCGAATATGAGCTGGAGAAGGATACTCTGGTAAGTCGGTATGGGCCAGGGCGTTCGCTCGTTGGGACTCGATGTTTCCGGCATGTACCATTGAGACTTGAGAATAAAATATTATCAGCAACTTTAGCTTTATGTAATAACGGTATAGGATGTCATACCCTCTGGGCCTGAATCGCAGAAATCAGTTTATGATGAAAAGTAATCGCCGTATCCCTCGCCGCCTGGTCGCCCTTGATCCAAAGCCCAATCATTGCCATCGACTGCAGGAGCACACAAGGCTCCTCCGATTGTTTGAACGTAGCCCGAAACAGAATCGGCCAAGTCGGATGGAATTGGGCAAAATAAATGTCAATAAAGTCCTGAGCGATCCAGCGAGACGAGCTAGGCACAGACGCTGCCAAATCCATATTAAAGTCCGCTTGTCTCTCACAGGCCCTTTCTAGGCGAGTATGAGAACAGGTAACCCCTCGCCGCTGGCAGCGGGTACATGGATACCCGCCGTCACAGCGTTCTTTTCGAGCATGGCAGACGCTGCAGGCCTTTTGGGCGCGAGACGGCGGCGCCTCCTTTTCTGGATGGTAGTTCTTTATATGGCGGCGGAGAAGATCGCTGGATAATGGTTAGTCTTTGTGATGGTTTGTAGCGAGCTTCACTATGATGCATTCCTTCTGGCTAGAGTGCTGTTGCAGTAAGGGCAAGAGGACCGCGGCCCTTGATTATGATGGGCCACGTGCCGGTTCAAGTGTTCTTTGCGTTGGTAGGCCGCATTGCATCCTGGATTGTTACATTGAAAGGGCCGAGCAGCGGTGGTGTGTAGGCGTGGAGGCATCCTGGAATATTCCAGGAGGGATGGAGGAGGTTGAGGAGGGAAGGCCGAGTGGCGAGTGGGATGTTCACTATAACAGAACGTTATTAATGTTACTACGGCCGGCATCCCGCCCGGACTCTCCCGCCTGCAATGAACTATATAGATCAATGGGCCGCATATGGGCTTACTGCCAGTGCTGCATAATTTTAGACTATATCAATTCTATTGGTCTTGCCTTGATCTCTCTATTTACTTCACCTCGCAAGACCATGTCCGTCCACGACCCCGAGCCGACTCGAAGCTATACGGCGGGTGCCGAAGGCTACACCGAGGCAATTGAACCCACCATCTCCCGGCTTCCCAGTATCCAGAACCCGCCGGATCACGAGGTCTTCTGGAAGCCAGAGGATCCCGATAACCCGCGTCTCTGGCCGCTATGGTACAAGGGCCTCAGTGTTGTAACGATAAGCCTAGGTGCGACTGTGGTCAGCCTATTCAGCACTGTCTACACCTCCGGAATCCCGGGCCTGCAGGAGGAATTCCACATCTCGAAAATCGTCGGGCTTCTCGGCGTTTTTACCTACCTTCTCGGCATGGCTACAGGGACACTTGTCTCCGCCCCCCTCAGCGAAGTCTTCGGTAGAAGACCGGTTTACTTGGTATCCATGGGTATCTTCCTCTTGCTGGTCCTCCCAAGCGCGTTGGCCCGCAACATAGAGGCGATCCTGATCAGCAGATTCTTTGGAGGCCTGTTTGGCAGTACAATCATGGGCAACTCCCCGGCCTCAGTGAATGACATTGTCTCTGATAAGCACCGCGCTGCTGCGTTTGGTGTCTGGTCGATCGGGCCTACAAACGGCCCTGTGTATGGGCCAATCATTGGTGGCTTTGTGTTCGAGTATCTGGGCTGGAGATGGACGAACTGGGTTGTTCTTATCATGGGTGGTGCAATTTTCGTCCTGATGTGCTTTATCAGGGAAACATATGCCCCGGTGATCCTCCGGCACCGCGCAGCGAAACTTCGCAAAGAAACAGGAAACCCCAAGTGGTGGACTCGATACGATGGCGGAGAGAATCTGTTGAAGCGTCTTAGAGTCGGCCTTAGTCGGCCGCTCGTCATGCTGGTGACCGAACCAATTTGGTAAGTAACCCTAACTCTCCCATCTTGAACCCGAAGCTCGAATCACCCTGTTAACCCTCGCCCATTGTAGTATATTCTGGGATACATATGTCGCAATCATCTACGGCGTCCTATACCTCTGCTTCATCGCATACCCGATCGCCTTCCAGACCGAGCGCGGATGGCCCCCCGGAATCGGCGGCCTCTCCTTCATTGGCATCGGCGTTGGCGTCCTGATCACGATCGCATGCGAGCCTCTCCTCCGTAAAGTCATTAACAGCCACCGTAGGGATCCCGAAACTGGCGAGGTGCCCCCCGAAGCAATGGCCAGCATTGTGTCCCTCGGCGCCATCCTACTAGCCGTTGGGCAGCTCTGGTTCGCATGGACCTGTACGCCGAATGTCCACTGGATCGTGCCTATTCTAGCCGGTCTCCCGTTTGGTGCTGGAAATGCTTGTGTCTTTATCTATGCTAATAATTACATGTCGCGCTCGTATGGGATTTACACGGCTTCTGCGCTGGCGGGGAATATGTTCTCTCGCAGTATTATGGGCGCTTGTCTCCCGCTTGCCGGTCCGTCAATGTATGCCGTGCTGGGCCTTAACTGGGCGAGCACGTTTCTGGGTCTCGTTGAGGCGATGTGTATCTCAATTCCTGTTGTTTTCTATTTTTATGGGCATAGAATTCGTAAGGCTAGTCCTATGATTCAGGAGATGGAGAAGATGCGCGCGGAGGCGTGAGATATTTGGCGCGCTCTTATTATCATTTGCTTGTTATTTTATGTTCATCCTTAGTTATCTACTTTTTATAAACTTCTCTAGACTTCTATTTTGTACTTATTTTGAGATAGTATATAGATCGCGTTCCTACGTTAATATATATAACCTGTCTTGGTACCTATGCATCCACGCTCCTCACTGTAACAAATTTAGATCTTTTTCTTAGTTGTCCCTGCGTGTATCTTTCGGAAGAGTCCAATGGCCAGTCATAGTTGTCACCGGCATAATTGGGACATGTGCAAGGAGAGAAGCTTCGACTGCATAATTAGTGGCGGTGGTGCCTATTATGACGGCTACTTAACCGGCCGTTTTTGACCTTCCTAGGACCATGGTAGGTGGCTAAAACTTCAATTGTGGATGTCATGTCTTAATCATCGAGCGCGGCGGGATGCTCCGCGAGTGATGCCGAAGGACGGGATACCGAACAATATTCTAGAAATGACAAAGCATATTTTGCATTTATCACAGCTCTCAACGGATTCGTAATTGTTGCTGTCGATTTGTAAGTACTGTCTCGATCCTGAAGTATAAATACCGAGAACTGGACATTGATCTGCTCCAACTTCTCCTTCAAAGCAACCAGCCTCAACTTATTTCTTTCTCCAATCAACTTCCTTCTTTATCGACCATGTCTCCCACCCTAAACGTCACCCATATCGGCACCGCAACCGCCATTCTCGAAATTAATGGCATCAACTTCCTTACAGACCCCTTCTTCTCTCCCGCCGGAACCTCCTTCAACCGGGGTCATGTAGTCCTCAAAGTCTCCGACGACCCGGCCCTCCGCATGGACCAACTCCCCACAATCGACGCCGTGCTGCTTAGCCACGAGGACCACGAAGACAACCTCGACCCGCTTGGCCGCCAGCTCCTTGACGGCCGCCGCGTCTACACCACGCCTGACGGAGCCAAGAACCTCGCTCCTCGCCCAGCAGTCTACGGCATGAAGCCCTGGACTGAACTCGAGCATACCATCGGCGGCAAGAAATTCAAAATCATCGCCACGCCTACCAAGCATGTCCCAGGGGATGAATGCACGGGCTTCATTGTTACCGGTGAAGACTTCGGCACCGGCCGGGAGGGCCTCCCCAACGCGATTTACTTCACTGGGGACACGGTGTACATCGAAGAACTGAATTCCATTGCGGATCGGTACCACGTGCGTGTGGCTGTGATGAATCTGGGGAATGCGCATGTTCCAACCACCATGGAGCCTGAGAGTCCGCTTATGCAAATTACGATGGGTGGGAAGGACGGGGCGAAGCTGTTCCGGGCTTTGAAGGCTGATGTGCTTGTTCCAATGCATTATGAGTCTTGGGGCCATTTTACGCAGTTTGGGGAGGGGTTGAAGCAGGCGTTTGAGGAGGAGGGGATTAGTGACAAGGTATGTTGGCTGAAGGGGGGTGAGGCAGTTTCTGTTTTTTAAAGAGGGGTTGCCTTTCTTTCTTTGTTGCTTCTTTTAGCGGCATAGACTGCTTGTTGATTATAAAAGTGTACTGTTAAAGGCATAGGCCTATTAAATTGGATGCATTGGCTATTCTTTGAAGCGATAGTTTTATAAGGTCAATACTAGAGGGGGTAGACAAGGGTGTCTACTCTTTCAGTAACCTACAATGAACCCAGGGCTTTAGCTTTGGCCCCCGCTTCCTAAATGAAAGTGCAAGGGACAGGATTGCTTCTTCCTGTCCTGTACCATATGCTTGGCATTGGTAGATGGTATACGACTACCATGATAACTACTATCAGGATGGTAGTCTAAAGTGGTATACGGACCGAAGATATAAGGATGCTCATTCATGTACTTAGCTTAGTTCTTCGTGATCAATTCAAGTCATTTAGTATTGGTTACCTTTCTAGTTTCTGACTCGTCCGCACTTAACCAACGGCTCAGAATACGTACTCAGCTGGCCTTTTTTCTCCATTCGTTACCTTATTGATTTTATTGTCTTACAGTGCCTGGAGGGGGCGATATACCCATCAACGCACTACAACTTGGACCTGGATGGTCACTGAAGCATACGGATACACTGGGAACACTTAGGGTAAGTGTTCAGTCTCGAAGTACAACTAACTAGAACCCTAGGTACGATACGAGAGAAGCCAGGTTGTGACAACAAAGCGGTCAAGCCAAGCAGTGATATCAGTAATTCAGCCTCGGTGATTCAGAGGGCGGAGGAGAGATTGTATGGAGAAAAAAATGAATGGATGATTCATTTTTTATCATTATGTTTACATTCTTCCCTATATGCCGTGGTCTACCGCCTGCGTTGATTGCAGCGTTTCATGGCCGCAAGCTGAGCTCACGGCCCAATCCTGCATGGCTGCATGTATCTAAAATCTAGCTAGGACAGGTCAATGAGTACTACTACTGCTCCTGCTGCTGCCACTGAAGTGGTGAGACCAGAGGGTGACACTTGATAAACTGAGACAGAAATTGGTCTAAGCGTAAGAAAATGGGTTGTGGTGTGAAAAGTGAGAATGATAAGAAGGTTTTGAAAGCATTAAATTGAAAGTGCCAAGTTGGGCCAGCCAAGAAACAAGAAACTGGTCATGATTGGAAGATAATAACCACCGTGAGCGCATTGGCAATGATTAGTATAAAACTTGTTTATGTTTAGGGGAAGGGATATAAACATAATAAAATATAGTTCATATATAGTTATATCATATACGGGATACTGTTTGTTGTCTTATCCCATGGCAAGAGGAATATCAAACCTGCAAAGTCAAGACCATCAACAAATTCATCTGTAGAGAAAATTGGACTACTTAAGCCCAGCAGATTGAATACCCTCATCAACATATTTCTCGTGCGCCATATAGAAGTGCGAATGACCCTGGTCTTCATCACCAGCTTGATCTTCCCTGCCTGGGAAAACATCCATGACGTTGTGAGAATACTGCCTGAAGATGTATTTTAGAAAGCACTCGCAAATAGCCCTTTTTCATTCCAGACGCAGTCTGAGCTCTCTATAGATGCATGTCAGCCGAGAAGCCCGCTTAGCATATTTTGGGAGTTGAGTGGCATTACTAAAACCTATAGTTCCAGCCGAGCAGCGTCGCAGTCTTTTCTGCTATATGCATCCAAATCCAGAATATGTTGATTCAATAATCTGGAGTCAGGTCCCAGACTAGTCTCTAGCACTTGTCACGAATCCAGGGATTAAAGACCTGCATTGTGTGATCTATATGTATTGGTGAATAAAGAGAACCTGGTAACAAAACTGAGGGTTGGATGTAAAGAGCCGTGAGCAGTGTGCCCACATCCAATTCTGATAGAGCAGTTATCAGAATGCAAGACATTCCATAATGTCCCTTATGTGCAACCATTTCCGGAGCTGTTGACCTGATGAAGGCATTTTGTATCGTGGATCTGAGTATTGAAGTAAGACTCGTTGCGATATCTTTTTTTTTTTTTCTCACAGACTCACAATGAATAGTATTTGAATAGTATTACAACAGACAAATCACGGTTGCAAGGAAGGAATATTATGCTACATTTGGCTAGATGGGCAAGAACACTTTTATAACATTTGGCCAGTAGGGATCATTTACTGTCGTCATCCTAAGCAGTAAGCCTTCATGGCAATTGATTCTATGTCCTTAGTCCGCACGGCCTTGCCTGCTCCTAAGATTTTCAGACTCCTAGGAGTCCTGGACTGGACCTAAGACAGCCGATCCTGCTCTTGAGAGCTAGAAGCACGCTCCCCAGACATAGGGTAATCTCTAGAGCGAATCGAATCTTCATAGGAGCTTAGTTTATCCCACTATCTCTGGGAAGAAGCTGGCATGGTAAGAAGCGGAGCAGAAGGAATGATGACCTCAATTTCCTGTTTCATTGATGGTGCCATCACTTTGTTGAGGGGGTCAAGTGCTACGAATATAAGTGGAGACCGGCGAAGCTAGCATGGTGCGTTTTATTGAGGCTGTCTTGGTCAGGCTACTCACCCCTCTGCTCAGTCTCTACTCAGTGATCAGCTCAGACTGCTCAGGGCATGCTCAGGTCTACGCAGTGAGCAAAAAGCGGCGAGGGGTGAGCACCAAAACAGAAAGGGCAAGCCTTCGAGCTGTCTAGGAAATCAAGTACGTATGAACTATGGGCGTAGGATCCGTCCGACCCACTCCTTCCCGAATGTGTGTATTCGCTTTGAGAACAGGCCAAGCGTCAACTAGATAAGGGATGAGGACATCCTCAGTACTTTACTGTCTAAGCATGGAGGATAAATGGTCACTTGTATGGGGCACTGGTGATACCAGGACATTATATATACCAGAAAACTGCCTAAGAACTGTGAATTAACCAAGCTAAACCCGGTACTACATTATGAAGCACCAGACAAATTATAACATGCTGAAGTGTGTATCGTAACACGAACAGAGGTATAAATATCCCAAGAAAGAATAATCCTATCCCGCCGAAACGATCCTAATATTCTCATGTTCCTCCTCTTGTATCCTATCAATTTCCGACGCAATGCTCAACACCCACCGATCCTTTTCCACCCGACTCTTTGTTTTAAACACAATCGTCCTCCCATGAACACCCAAAGTCGACACATGTTTCAGCGTCTGCTTCGTCCGTCCTCTTTTCCCATACTCCTTCGCCCGGAAATAGTTCTTTCGTAAGGGTTGCCAGACCACGAATGTGATTGCCGTGTCATCGTCGCAGGTCGTGAAGACATCGGGGGAGAGGTATGCACGTGGTAAGGATTGGTGGCCCGGGTTGCTGTTGTCGAAGGTTTGGTTTGCGTATAGGAGATCGTTGTCTGTTAGTAGGCCTGAGTATATATAGCAGTCGCTGAGGTCTATGGAGGTTTCGAGCTCTTGGTGTATGTGAGCCATTTCGACGCCGTTGCGGCTTCGTAGTGAACTTCGGAAGATGAGGAGCTTTCCACCGGAAAGAATTACGTTGCACCTTTTAAATGTTGCATGTCGGCGTGGCTTGCGGTAAAGTTGTCCGGACATCTTAAAATTGGTAGTTAGTACCAGGCCCTGAAAGTTCACACAAAAGGCACATACCTTGATTGTCCGACAGTGAGACAAGGAACACATATTATGCAGGTGTGGCGATGCCACTGCCTTCTTGACCTCCCATTTCAAGGCAAATTGCCCAATGTGCGACTCAACCTCTTCATCAATATCAAGAGCCTCTAGGTTCTTTTGTCGGATAATTCTCAGCTCAGCCCCATCAGAGGCAGTACGCGCTTTCCAGTATTTGACCAAAACTTTCATCCGCCTAATCCATTCATCTCTGGTATCCTTGTTGTATGCTTGAAGGCGAATGACGAGATCATTGTCTAAAAGCATCTCAAAAGTCCTGTCGTCGTCGAACTGGTCTGTTGCACCATCGTCCCGGTGTGTATCTCGGACATCCGGGTTATACTCGACGTCCGATCCTCTCTCAATATTTGGATCCGCAGGGCTGCTGTTTCGCTGGACTTCCCGTACTTCCAGTACTCGGCATAGATCAATATACCCGTCAGAATGGCAAATGTTGTGAAGGTTCCTGTGAAGCTGGGCATAGGCTTCTTCATCATGTCTTTTCAAATACTCCTTGTTGCCACTGAAGGTCCATTTGATGTCGCCGTTGTGCAGTGGGAACGGATCAATGTCGTAGCAAAGCGGTGCTTCGTTCAATATCTGTTGAGATGACGGTATATTTGACACATTGGTAGATGTCAACCTCGGAGGCGGCGGTGGCAAGGACTTTGCTGGCCTGCAGAAGAAAAGATAGTGATCCTGGGTGAAGAAATAGAGACGTTTGAAGAACATCCTGTTCAGGCGCTGATGGACTCCCCTTTGGGATGTCAGGCGGACCAAGAAGCCTTCCAGCGGCGATGGCTCATCCTCTTTCGCACCATCATGTTTAATGGTTGTTGAGTAGTGCTGCCTGGGCCGAAGCTCCAGCTCATGAGTATCCTGCATCCCGATTGATCCATACATTCTTTCCTCATTGACACCAAGTATCCATTCGAGTCGGTCATACCGTCTCCAAGCAAGGCCCATCTTCTCAGACTTCGACCATTCGCGCAATACATCTGCCCACTCTGTTCGATTTTCAAGCATTTCCATACAACCGCGTACTATTGCTGTAGCCACATTGCATTCTTCAGGGTGCACCTGATTTCTGCCGTTTTGTCGATTCTTATTTTTCGAACTGATAGCGGCTTCGATTTGTGCAAAAGGATCTTTGAAAAGGAGAGAGACGCCGAGATCCGGAACAGTTATCTGAAGGGAAGATGGCCTATCCCGGCCTAGTGCCTGGCACATGAAGGTATACCATTCCACCGCGTGTGCTGTCGACTTTGGACGTACAATGAAAATCTTGGTTCCATGTTTTGAAGGGCGCCACATCACAATAGTCTTGTCCAATGAAGAATAGAAATTGACCCTTGTTCTCTTGTTGTCCAGGGACACCTCGTAGTATGGAGAGGTTTTCGTACCAGATTTTTGTACCTCTGGTACGACCCGGGTTTTGTACATCTGCAGCGTAAATGGTGCATATTCTTCATCGGCCATTCGACAAACCACCAGAAATTCACGCCATTTGTCCACGACTCGTGTCTCCATTCGCATGCTATCATTTTCGGTGTAGTCATCGGGAAGGTCTCTCTGCATTGTCTGTTCAACTCGAACAAGCATCCGTTCCGCCTTGATGATTTCGCCCTTTTGCAATTTTCGTCGACTTGGTCGATTTGCGGAGATACTGTCGTGTGTTCTGGATAACCTCGCAAGAAGCCGTTGTTGTTTGTGCAGGATATTGTCATCAAGACTGTACTTGACCATTCTTTTCTGGCCTCTTATCCCCTTTCCATTGGCCTTTCCATTAGGAACACTCTCTTCCAAGTCGGTCCCCTCACTTTGAGGCTCCTGTTGCTCAAGGGTGGGCTGTATTATCCTCTGGATTCCTTTATCTTTGGGCCCCGATTTGTGTTTTAGCAATGCGGTTGTTGACTCGGACTCGCTTGCAGATGCTATGGGACTGGACTGATCGGTCTCACCGGTGCTGGGAACTCGCAGCATTCGCGAGCTGGGTTTCTTGACGTGCTGTTCTGGTGCTATCCCTTCCGTCTCCTGCCTTTCCAAGTTCGTATCCGTACCTGTGTTCGCGCTGGTGTTCGCATTGGTATCCGAATCCAGATCGTCTACACTTCCTCCAATTTCGCGGGCAGTCATATAAGACGAGGCATCTTGGACATGATTAGTTGGTTTGTTCCTGGGATCCATTTCTTTTGGGGAGGAGATACCTGTTTCTGTGGTAGGCGTGGCCATGGATTTACCGGTCCGTCTTGAGGTAGTGTCCACTTCTTCCTCGCGCCGGGACGATCCTTGTCCATTGCGTTCATTGTTCTGGTCGTTCTGGTCTTCCGGCATCTCTTCGTCTTCCCAAGCACCATTCTGGTTATCCTCCTGCTCCGGACCTGAAGACGATAGATCGTTATCGGTTTCGGGGGTGTCATCCTCGTAATGTACGACAACCGGGTCCGCGGAGAAGCTAACGGTCTTGGACGAATAGTTCTTGAACTTAATCCCTGATTTATACCAAGATTTCCGGTGATGCTGGAGCCAGCCTTCGGGAATTGGACCTATGAAGAATCTTCTATTTGTCATGTGCAAGTGGTGAGGAGAAGCATGTTGCTGGTTGTGTCAAGAACGAAAATCGTCAGATCCCTTGGCGCCAATGCCTATGCAGAACACATTGAAGACCACATACCAACTTCTTGCTCGTGTAGGAGTCGGGCTCCAGGCCATGGCGATACTCATGATATACGTTGCCAGGAACCACATCTGGTCGATCAGGGGCCTGTTGAGTGCTCATGACACAGGACTGGAATATGGTAGCGCAGCGAGTATAACGACACGGCGCATCAACAAGAACACAAAAATTCCGTGTCTGTTGAGATCTATTTCTCCCTCCTTGGTATCCTGACCAGTTGGCAGGGCGTCAGGCACCGAGATTTAGGGATCGCTCCCAGATCGAACGGCGCCAATCCAATCTGCCCCTTCTTCATTTCTAGACTATGACGTCGAGATCAGCAAGGCTTGTCTGTTTGCATTGTTTGCTGTGGTTGAGCTGTTTTGTCTTGTTTGTTTGGTTTACTCTATTTGCAACACGGGGCCCCACTGGGGCCCTGATTGGCCGCCTGCTTGCGTGTCCCGCGGCCGCAGCAGGCGGTGTGTGAGACAGTTATCAACACCTACTCCTATTCTCCTCTCTTTCATCAGTGCAGTTTGCTTCTCTTCATATCGTTTTTTGCATTTTTCATCCCATCTCAATAATCATGTCTACCTGGTTCGACACTATCCAGAAGTCCTTCGCGGACGTCCCTGTTGATGCCGCCAACGACAACGGAATCTCGACCACCGAGTTCCTTGAGGCTGCTGAGTCGCTGACCACCTTGTTCGGTGAGCTAACGGCCATTGATTGTGTGTATGCATCGAGTCTAACAGTTGTCATTTATCAGATGTCCTTGGTTCTAAGGCATTCACCCCCGTCAAGAGTGACCTGCTTGGTAACATCAAGGTCCGTACATCCACCCCGCATTGCACGATAGTAGCGCCTAACCCCGGTATAGAAAGTCAAGGACAGGCAGCAGGCTGCTCCCGCCGAGTCTGCAACTCTGCAGTCTCTCGTCGTGAACGAATTGAAGGAGAAGAAGCACACTGCCACAGAGGGATTGGTCTGGTTGGTCCGGTGAGTGTTATCGCATCCATCCCCTCCTGTGCAATTAGAGCTAACCACCTGGGTCATCAACAGTGGCCTTGACTTCACCGCACAAGCCCTCCGTCACAACCTCGACAACGCCAGCAAGGAGCTCGCTGACTCCTTCCGCGAAGCCTACGGCAACACCCTCAAGCCCCACCACTCGTTCATCGTCAAGCCCATCTTCAGCGCCGCCATGTCCGCTACACCATACCGGAAGGACTTTTACGTCAAGCTCGGCGAGGACAATGCCAAGGTGCAGTCGTCTCTAGAGACGGAGGTGGCGGCCCTTCAGCAGAGGGTTGCCATCCTCAAGGAGTTCTTGGACCGCAAGGAGGCCAAGTGGTAAATGATGATACCAGAGTAATATGTTGACACGAACCTCGCGTGCCTGATATGTAGCATAATATTTCGAAGCGATGGTTGATTGTTCATGTAAATAGCAGTTTGTCAATTCTCAATGCACAGTCAGACGAATCAATCGAATCAATCTAGATAAAGGACTTACAGTTGCTCACTTGTCCTATTTTGCGGAGAATTAGTAGTGTCCATGCTTACCTGGGCAGAGGAGCATTTTCAAAGGCGCGGGGAGCCATGATACAGAGTACAAAGTCTGTATCCACCCAGGACGACCTGCCAAAACCAGAAGGGCAAAGGAGCATGTGGCAGCCATGCAAGCCACATAGCCACCGCATTGCACACGGCACAGCCACGCAACTGTCACCCTGACTAGTTCCCGTGCACAATTAATGCAACCGCCCTAGGCATCTGGTGCTTATGCTGTTTATGCAGAATGCAAACTGAATCCAGCATCCTTGTACAAGCTCTGCATACTTTACAAACAGAGATGCTCCGGGGTACATCTGTAGATCTAACAAACTAACCTGCACCCCGCTTAACCTGAAGAACCGAGACTGGGTCTATTGTTCGTCTCGGGATGGCCAATGCCCCATTTGTCTCGGGACGATCTGGGGAATGCAGGCACTGGGAATGCAGGGAATCCTTGTGATACCGAGGTTCGGGATGAACATGTGTTCTGATCTTGTATGGGGTATGGGGTAGTACTTTTAGGGTGCGAATGGGGTATGTATTGTAAGAGAGTGGTTCTCTTAACCTGTTTTCATGTAAGTAAGATTTTTCGGATTACAGCGATTGTTTTGTATACATGTTATGAGAGAAGAAATCAGGTAGCTGACAGATGAGAACGGAGTACCAAAAGTTCTCCTCCGTACACTGAATAGACACGCAGTCCCAAGAGGTCAGGATATACTTCCACCGAGGCATAAGTAAAGAGTCTTGGCCTGACGCATTAACAGCGCGAGGTTCTGTAACTACCAGCAATTCGGGTGATATAGGAATACCCGCTGCAGTGAAGGATCTCACTATTGATATGAAGAGGGAATTAAAGTGTGATGATTTGCTATAATGACCAAAGCAGGATTCGTTATATTGGGATTTAAACGTCCACTATTTGAAGATCAAGTCTGAAAAATATGTCTAATTGCTCATTTGTCCAATTCATCGGTTACCTGCTAAGTACGGAGTACTCTAATATTCCCTTCCACCTTCCTATTCCTACCACGAAGAGTCGATCGAAGCAACGCCAGTTCTATTTGTACAAGTATGCATATCACTTCAGATATTGGTGTAAATAGTCCATTCCTGGAGCACGAGGCTGATGGAGCGGCCGAGGGCCAAAGATCGACAGCCTCACAATTTCCGACGAAGAGGCCATGCGGTTATTGTTGTTTTCCTAAACGCATCCTAGATCAATAAAACAGACGGAAGAGCAAACATATTTCGGAAGTCCCATCGGAAAAGGCCACGGTCCTAGACAGGGGATCTAGTAGTATATGAGCGGGTCGAGTATCATTATACGTACCCATAGGAAGCTTTTTAGGGGGCACACGCCGCCGCGCCAACAGGCATCTACAAATAATCTAGCCCTGTCTAGAACGCCAAGGAAGCGATAGAAGGCACGCCGAGCCAAGAGAAGACGGGCTGGATTAAGAGCTGCGGTGTCAAAGGTTGTGACAGAAGCCAATAATATTACCAACTAGTGTCAGTCAACGGCCAACGATGATATTTATTGAAGCACGAGGGCCAATATTTTTTAGACTTTGGCAGGTGTCAATCGGCATTTCTGAGTTTGGATTGAGTTTCGATAGGAGTTTCCCAAAACGTCGTCAGACCCTGAGCTTTGCGTCCGATAGTTTGGACTTTGGATGCATTATGGGATTACGTGTACAGTAATACATGAATACATTGAATACACACAGAGTACGGAGTGCGGAGGAGGCAATTCGATTTTCGATCGTACTCATATAAGATGAGATAGATTACTATGATCAGAGGCGTAATGATTGTGTGGCGGGACTAGGCGGCAGGTTATCGAGACTATTAATAGATGGAGTGCGTGAATATCTGCATCTTCATAACTTTCAGGGGCTGTACTCAAGGTGAACAGTGCAATGCTTGATACCTCAATGCTTGTTCACTGCGTGCTCTGTACCTGCATACGAATTCCGTAATATTTATAGGAAATATGAATCGAGACTCACCTCCGCGACGAACCACGGCATCGGGCCAAATACAGCAAGCACGTTCCACAGAACGGCGATGATGATCGAAATTAGATAGACAGCCAACACCAAGCTTTCATTGGTCAATACAAGCGGCAGCTTGGCCGAAGAGAGCAGTCATCGACACTCGGCAATTTGAAATTTGATCCCCGGTCAGGTTTAGCGTGCGGCGGGCTCCGTGGTTCCCGGGGCCGGACCACGCCAGATCCCTGCGATCCAGCGCTTGGACGTTGTTCCTGCTCGCCTGTATGTGCGCTTTGGGTTTAGTGTGGGCGATATTTCCTGTATTTCGTATGGTTTTTTGTGTTCGTCGAAACGGTCCAAGCGTATTTTCTGAATGGGGACTAGTGTGGACTCATTGCTATGAGTCGGCTGTCAGACAAGGTTTGCTCACGTGCGTTTAAGATGCCTGTCGCTGTCGCATTATGTGGTTGGTTGGTTGTGTGAAGGCACGGGGGTTGGCTGCAGGCTTGGATCCTGTTTCTGGGGGTTGTCCGAGAATACAGGATTTGAACTGGTAAGTGCTCGGAGAACGCACGTTGTATGTAGGTACTCACAACTCGGTCCGTGTATCAGGCTGGGTCCATCATGGTGAATGCTCCAGCATTCGTTTGGATTGTACTCCGGACTCTGTACTCCGTGGTGATCGATGACTCCCTAACAGGGCGCCGGAGTCATGTAAATAACAAAAAACACCACCCAGAGCTCTAGGCTCATCCCCACCTGAAATGGAACCGGTCCCGTCCGGCCTCTGTAAAAAAAAAGGTTGTTTGCTCCTAAAAGACACCGGTTATTCTTTCCGACAGTGGGGGTTGTCTCTAATAAAACTCCTGCAGCTGCTCTTTCTTTTGTCAATTTCCATTTGCTTTCTTTCTTTTCCGTCCAATCCTGACTTTCTATATTGGTTGGAGATCCGTCTGGCTCTCATATGAAGTCATACCAATCTAGACGGATTTCCATACAATGCATGCGATTCCCTTGCGCCCTTCAAGATGGTAGAGTTTGTCGGCCGCAGTGAGTCCATCTTCATCGTCACCATTATCTTCCTCGCCATTTCGCTTGTCGCCGTGTGTCTGCGATGTTTCGTCCGGTTAAGGCTGGTACGAGCCTTTGGGTGGGATGATGGGTTGATGGTTGCTGCGATGGTATGCGATACTGGCACTGGAACCACATTACCATTTTCGAATACTTACCGCTCCGCAGGTTGTGAATATCTTGTTTGCATTATGTGGAATCGTGGGACCGATCTATGGAATTGGACAGACCTTTGAGCAGTTGGATATAGTGCACAATTTGGAGAAAGTGCAAAAGGCTATGTTTGTATGTGGTCCTGCGCAACATCTCGGAAAGACACCGCACTCTAACGCAAAAATAGTGGTGGTGGCTCGGTCAAATGTCCTACGTTATCGTCGTCGTCCTCGCGAAAGTGTCAATTGCGCTTGCCCTCCTCCGTCTCACTGTCGCAAGAGTACACACCATTATCCTCTGGGTGGTCATCAGCCTTTCCATCGTTATTGGACTCGTCTTCTGGTTTATGTTGACTCTACAATGCACGCCGGTTTCGTTCTTCTGGGAGAGAACAGGCACGGGAAATTGTATAGAGACCGACTACCTTATCGATATCGCCTACTTGTACAGTGTGGTGGCTACGGTTTGCGATTTCACCCTGGCTCTCTTGCCTATTGTGTTGGTGTGGAATCTGCAGATGACTACCAAGACAAAGGCTGCTTTGGCGGGTATTCTTAGTATGGGTTGCGTGTAAGTTGTCTTCTTGCTTTCGTGAATTTATAGAGTATCTAACTTGGTGTAGATCCAGCGCAGCAGTCATCGTCCGCATCCCATATCTCCACTACTACAAAGACCCTGACTTCCTCTGTAAGTCCCTCAACCCAGCCCATCGAAATCCCCCATGCTAATCCACGCAGATGCAACAACCGACATCTCAATCTGGTCCAACGTCGAAGCCGGCCTAGGCATCACGGCCGGCTCCCTCGTCACCCTCCGCCCTCTCTTCCGCTGGTTCCGCGGCGACAGCTACGCGCGCACCTACGGCGCAAAACGGACAACCGGCAGCATCCCCCTCTCCAGCATGAACGGCAACCTAACCAACAAATCCCAAAACGACCCCAACAGCAACCAGTACTGGCGCTCGGATCTAGTGCCGGATAACGCACAGGCAATTGCTATCACGACTCATAGAAGCAAGGGAAGTAGTCAGGAGTCGTTGAATCCGACCCAGGGGCAGGGCCATGGTCATGATCCGGGGTATCAGGGGAGGGGGGTTAATGTTCAAAAGTCTTTTTATGTTTCGACTGAGGTTGTATAATATCATGCGTAATGCATTGCACCGTTTGTTTGTTTCAGGGCTCGGGATGTTCCGATTGGATGCTTAATGCGATATTTTCGATATCGATGTTTACTTGAAACTGTAGGAAAAGCACTAGATCTGAGATCTAGAACCAGGCGACCACCGATGATCACGCCAGATACGTCGATTGTCTAAGCTGAGAGCATCAACCAGCGCCAGCGCCCGCGCCCACCTGATTACAACTCATCAATTACACTTTTGCCATGCACATAGCTCTGACGGAAGCATGAATCGCACTCCGTGGATCAACCACTCTCCGCTGGTTCGGGGATGTTTTGGATCGGTCCGACCAGCCAACGAAAACCGCCGATTCAAAAGGACACCAATTGACTCATGCGGTGAGAAAATGGTGCTAGTGGGGTTGCAAGTCTATCTATAAAAAGGGCCCATGACAATGGTATATTTGAAACGAAGCTTGTTTTTCAGAAAGGAAGAAAAAAGCTCGACGAGTTTATCGGCAATTGAAGCTTCGGAATGGCTACCGGTACGCGGGGCGATGAGGGCCTCCTGTTTCAGAGGGATAACCGAGTCGGGATGATTCCGGAATATCGGCCGGATCAGCGATTGGAATACGGTGATTCAGAGAATGTTGCGAGTCAGGAGGATGTTCCGCCCGATGGCGGGTATGGATGGGTGTGCACTGCGTGTGTTTTTCTCATCAATGCTCATACTTGGGGTGTCAATAGTGTGAGTTCTCGACGATTGTTTTTTACATGTGTTTCTGCTGATGATACAGGCATGGGCCGTCTTCCTGGCACACTACCTTTCCAACTCAACATTCCCCGAAGCCACAGAACTACAATACGCCCTGATCGGCGGTCTTTCTATATCCCAAGCCCTCCTAATCTCCCCCGTTGTCTCACTATCCAACCGGAAAATAGGAACCAGACCTACACTTCTTATCGGATCAATTCTTGTATTCGTTTCACTGCTCGGGGCATCCTTCTCGACCAGGATCTGGCACCTGTTCCTAAGCCAAGGACTATGTTTCGGATATGGAATGGGATTCCTGTACATCACAGCCACATCCATCCTCCCAAAATGGTTCTCGAAAAGACGCAGCCTCGTCCTTGGCATCGCGACATCTGGTGCTGGTATGGGCGGATTAGCGTATAACCTGGGAGCTGGCGCAGGTGTGGAAAGTGTGGGATTGCCATGGACATACCGAATCCTAGCTTTCTGCTCCCTCACAATGAACCTAATCTGCTCTGTCCTTCTCAAAGACCGCAAGAGCCCAACTTCAGCACGTTCGGAAGGAAAAGCCTTTGACTTCCGCGAATATGCACGCATCCAAGTCATCCTAGTTGTCTCCTGGGGCTTCCTCACAGAACTAGGCTATATAACCCTCCTCTATTCATTACCAAACTACGCCATCTCAATCGGCCTTTCCGCGCGCCAAGGCTCCGTCATTGGCGCCATGCTAAACCTAGGCCTCGGCCTCGGCCGCCCCCTAGTAGGCTACTACTCCGACGTGCTCGGCCGCATAAACATGGCCTCGATAATGACCTGCACCTGCGGCATTCTCTGCCTGGCCATCTGGGTCCCCGCAAAGACCTTTCCGGTACTTATCGTCTTCGCACTCCTCAGCGGCTCCGTTACTGGCACGTTCTGGTCGTGCTTTGCACCTGTTACTGCAGAGGTTGTAGGGATGCAGAAGATGCCGTCTACGCTGGGGATGATTTGTTTTTCGTTGGTGTTACCGACGACATTTGCGGAGCCGATTGCGTTGCAGATGGTTGGGAGCTCGGGGTATTTGAGTTCGCAAATTTTTGTGGGGTGTATGTTTCTTGCTGGGGCAGGGTGTACGTTTGCGTTGAGATCGTGGAAGATCCATGAGATTGAGATGAAGGCTAGAAGTGAGTTGGAGCAGGGGTCAGGGAAGAAGGATTTTTGGCTTACGCCGAGGAGGTTGTTTATGACGAGGAGGGTTTGACGAGTTTATTGTTCAATATTTGCTTCGTCAACATCTAGTCCCAGGAAATCTGCCTGCCTTAATCTCAGAAACCATCCATCACTTTCGAAAGACAAAAAAAAAAAAAAAAAAAGGCCAGGCTTCCCCTTTGAATAATAGCAGCTCATAGCAGTTGCCACAAACAGTCGTTTTGGGTCTTGCAATGCCGATGACAACTTATATCCCTCCGCCATTGCCATTTCACTTTCATGATTCTTGGCTAAGGCAAAGTACACTCCCTTTCCGCAAATCACTGCTTATCCCCCTCATCCTTCGGATCCCCCATCGCATCATGTCTCCGCAAACTTCGTAGCAATCAACCGAAAAGTGAATAATGATGGAAGCTTGAGAAGCTTGTTTTTGATGGTTCTCTTTGACTTTAGGATATTGTTGTCCTTGTTCGACATCATACTATCCAAAAACTCGAGTCGAATGTCCGTGAGGTCTCCTGATCACCAGAGATAAGCGATACTGATTCCGTGATATTAGCTATTCGCTAGGTTAAATTACCGAGGCACTAAGAAAGCCCTTGAGGTTCAAGCTAAGTCTTTGATGGAATTGTGCCTCACTTGCATACCCATCGAGGGGAAATAAGGACTCAGCGCGTTCATCTAAAGACCGTCGATCACCGTCTCATCAGAAACGGGAGTTGCCTTCTTGTAAAGGCCTTTAATGACACAAGAACTTCGGCACTGTAACAGGTCAGTATTATTATACTATGCTTGGCGGTTGCTTTTCGTTCTGGGCATGGCACTCACTAGATAATAGATTTGACGGCCTCGTCTGTGCGTCTTGCGGTTGCCAGACCTACGATGATCAAGATCAACGGCAAAATTGGATCTTCAAGAATTTGGTTCATAGTTATTCCTCAACCATGCCCTAATTCTATTTATGGGGCTTGAGTATCTCTGTATATCTTGAGGTGTACAGAATTCTAGGGCCGAAGCACAAGTATTTTATCGCAACCTTACCCTAGTTGTCGCTGTGGCAGTTAATCCTGCTCCCAATGCTTGCCTATAATATCCACCATAACTGTATGCCTTTTGGTATGCTCTAAATCAAATTATCAATAGAAGATTGGTTGCAACAGCACAATAGGACTGTCGTCGTCCGCGACAATGATGTGGGTGTTGCTGGACAGTCCAACGGTCAAACTGTACGGACCAATTGCCGCAATAAACAAAATGCCTCCATACATAGAGGCTATTACCAACTATAGAGAGAGTATATAAGAATCATACCATATATCTTTTTGTGTCTTTGTACATCCATGCTCGTTGTATATAGATCACGTGATCCATTTACGGCGGCATGTAGAGTCGACCAATCAGCGAGCGTGCCGTCATCAAGCTCTGGGCTGGGCGGCGAAACCTCCGGCAGGAAATTATGAGGTGGCTTCTTTGAGAGAATAATATCATCACCGCGACTCTTTCTTTCAGCTTTGGGAAGTTGCTAGTGACTGAATGGATTCATTTTCTTCTCTTATGATTGTTTAATCCTCTTCCCTCTTTTTCACCGTCTTTCGCTTCTGAGTCGTCTGACCGCATGGTCATTCGAATGTCATCATGTCAGTGCTCTCCCCGTGCCCTTAATAGTTTGAAAAATGACCGTTGCTGATTGATTATCACACAGGGCGAAACTCGTGGACGATCCCCAGATCAAATATGCGTCGCTTCACAACCCGCTCCCTACCCAGCTCCATACTTATGTGTGGCCATTCCTCATAATCTGGCCCGCGTTCTTCGCGTTCTACCTCTCCCCTGAGCGCTATGACAAGTACATTCAGGGTCAGGAGTGGACCTTCGTGTGGTCCGGGACGATTATCACGCTCCAGTCACTTCTTTGGTTAATGACGAAATGGAACATCAACATCGAGACGTTGTTTACGGCCACCCGCGCCAACTCTCTGGATACCGCGCAGCTTATCAAGGTCATCCCGGACACCAACGCTGGTTTGGCTGAGATCTGCTCTTTGGTTCACGAAATCAAGGATGGAAAGAAGACCTTTTCGTTCTTGTTCCAGAAGCGCCGTTTCCTTTACTACGCGGACCGTCGGACTTTCGCCCCGTTGACCTACGTTCTCGACGACGAACCGAAGCCCGCGGTCAAGTACTTTCAGCAAAACCGCGGCTTTGAAACCGAGGCCGAGATCAACCGCATTCAGGAACACTACGGCGACAACAAGTTCGACATTCCGGTCCCTACCTTCGTCGAGCTTTGGAAGGAACATGCGGTGGCGCCGTTTTTTGTCTTCCAGATTTTTTGCGTCGGGTTGTGGATGCTGGATGAATACTGGTATTACTCGCTATTTACCCTCTTCATGCTGGTCGCGTTCGAGAGCACTGTAGTTTGGCAACGTCAGAGGACTCTTACTGAGTTCCGGGGCATGAATATCAAACCTTATGATGTGTGGGTGTACCGTAACAAGGAATGGCAGGAAACCACTAGTGACAAGCTCCTCCCCGGCGATCTGATGTCCGTCAACCGTACCAAGGAAGACAGCGGTGTTGCCTGTGACATTCTCTTGATTGAGGGTAGTGCTATCGTCAACGAGGCTATGCTTTCTGGTGAAAGTACCCCTCTCCTCAAGGATTCGATCCAGCTCAGAGCCGCTGATGACCTGATCGAGCCGGAAGGACTGGACAAGAATGCGTTCGTTCACGGAGGAACAAAGGTCTTGCAGATCACCCACCCCAACACCAGTGCTGAAGGCACAGAGCAGCAGAAGCCTAGTATTCCCACTCCTCCAGACAACGGTGCCCTTGGTGTTGTGGTGAAGACCGGATTCGAAACAAGCCAGGGTAACTTGGTGCGCACGATGATCTATTCTACGGAGCGTGTCTCCGCGAACAATGCAGAGGCCCTGCTGTTCATTTTGTTCTTGCTGATTTTCGCGCTTGCCGCTTCGTGGTATGTGTGGCAGGAGGGTGTGGCCAGAGATCGCAAAAGGTCTAAGCTGCTCCTCGACTGTGTCCTGATCATCACCAGCGTTGTTCCCCCTGAGCTTCCCATGGAACTCAGTCTTGCTGTTAACACCAGTCTCGCTGCTCTAAGCAAGTTCGCAATTTTCTGCACCGAGCCTTTCCGCATCCCCTTCGCGGGCCGTGTCGATATTGCATGCTTTGACAAAACCGGTACTTTGACTGGTGAAGACCTTGTCGTTGATGGTATTGCTGGTCTCAAGTTGGGTCAGGAGGGTGCAAAGGCCGAGGCGGATGGAGCGCAAACGGAACTGGCCAAGGCTAACAACATTGACATCAACACGACTCTGGTTCTTGCTAGCGCTCATGCTCTGGTTAAACTGGATGAGGGCGAGGTTGTTGGCGATCCGATGGAAAAGGCTACTCTGCAATGGCTTGGCTGGACTCTTGGCAGAAACGACACTCTCACTCGCAGGGCTGGTCCAGCTAGCGGTTCTCCTACCAGCTTCGTTGAATCCGTTCAAATCAAGAGACGCTTCCAGTTCTCTTCTGCCCTGAAGCGCCAGAGCACTATCGCGTCTATTACTAGTGGCGACCGGAAGACATCCAAGCGAAGCAAGTCTACCTTCGTGAGTGTCAAGGGTGCGCCTGAGACTATCCGGACTATGCTTGTCGAGACGCCCCCGCACTACGAAGAGACCTTCAAGTACTTCACGCGCAATGGTGCCCGTGTGCTTGCTCTAGCCTGCAAGACTCTTTCGCCCGAGGCTGAACTTTCGCAGGGACGCATCAACGACTACGCCAGAGACGAGATTGAGTCCAACCTGACTTTTGCTGGCTTCCTTGTTTTGCAGTGCCCTCTGAAGGAAGACGCCATCAAGGCTGTGCGCATGTTGAATGAGAGCAGCCACCGTGTTGTTATGATCACTGGTGACAACCCTCTGACTGCCGTTCACGTCGCGCGTCAAGTCGAAATTGTGGACCGTGATGTTTTGATTCTTGATGCGCCTGAAAACGACTTCTCAGGAACCCGCCTTGTCTGGCGAAGCATCGATGACAAGTTTAACAAAGACGTTGACCCTACTCAAGATCTGGACCCGGAGATTCTCAATACCAAGGACATTTGTATTACCGGATACGCCCTGGCCAAGTTCAAGGGCCAGAAGGCCTTTGTCAACCTTCTCCGCCACACATGGGTCTATGCTCGTGTGTCCCCGAAGCAAAAGGAAGACATTCTCTTGGGTCTTAAGGATGGTGGCTACACCACTCTGATGTGTGGCGACGGTACCAACGATGTCGGAGCCTTGAAGCAGGCCCACGTTGGTGTTGCGCTTCTGAACGGTTCTCCCGAAGATCTCGCCAAGATCGCTGAGCACTATCGGACGACGAAGATGAAGGAAATATACGAGAAGCAGGTCGGCATGATGCAGCGATTCAACCAGCCCTCGCCTCCGGTTCCCCTGCAGATCGCCCACCTCTACCCTCCTGGTCCCAGCAACCCGCACCACCAGAAGGCAATGGAACGCGAAACACAGCGCCGTGGTGCTGCCGCTCTCGCTGCGGTCAACACCGCGCAGTCTGATGTCGTTGAAACGGTCACTTCTCCGCAAGCGCAGGCACTGCAACAGTCCATGACTCCTCAACAACAGCGCCAGCAGCAGGCTTCTGTGGGGGCGGCTGCATTTGCCGACAAGCTTACCACGTCCATGATGGAGCAGGAGATGGATGAGAACGAGCCTCCGACTATCAAGCTGGGTGATGCTTCCGTGGCAGCGCCGTTCACTAGCAAGCTGGCCAACGTTATTGCTATTCCCAACATTCTCCGTCAGGGCCGTTGTACTCTTGTTGCGACTATTCAGATGTACAAGATTCTTGCTCTGAACTGTTTGATTAGTGCCTACAGTTTGAGTGTTATTTATCTCGATGGTATCAAGTTTGGTGATGGTCAGGTTACTATCAGCGGTATGCTGATGAGTGTCTGCTTCCTTTCTATCTCGCGTGCCAAGGTAATTTTTTCCTGTCTCTTTAACGAAATATTGGATGCTAATACACTTTGTAGTCTGTGGAAGGTCTGTCTAAAGAACGACCGCAGCCGAACATCTTCAATATCTACATCATCGGTTCCATTCTTGGACAGTTTGCCATTCACATTGCTACTTTAATTTACCTGTCAAACTATGTCTACTCTATTGAGCCGTACGTCCCCCCCCCGAAGTTATGATATAGCACGCTAACAGACCCACAGAAGATCAAACGACATCGACCTCGAAGGCGAATTCGAGCCATCCCTCCTCAACAGCGCCATCTACCTCCTGCAACTCATCCAACAAATCTCGACCTTCTCCATCAACTACCAAGGCCGTCCCTTCCGCGAGTCCATCCGCGAAAACAAGGCCATGTACTGGGGTCTCGTCGCCGCATCCGGCGTCGCTTTCTCCTGCGCCACGGAGTTCATCCCCGAAATCAATGAGAAACTGCGCCTGGTTCCCTTCAGCAACGAATTCAAGCTCACTCTGACCGTCCTCATGGTTTTCGATTACGCGGGTTGCTGGGTGATTGAGAAGGTGCTGAAGCATTTCTTCAGTGACTTCCGGCCCAAGGATCTTGCTTTGCGCAGACCGGAGCAGTTGCAGAGGGAGAAGACTAGGAAGGCGATGGAGGAGTTGCAGGCTCTGGCGGAGAAGGAGAGGCAGAGAAAGGTTTAAATTAGATATCTACGGATCATTTTGTATTTGCTAGGGTATCTATTTCTGTTGGGGTGAATGATGATTTAGATTTTATAGAGTGGGAAGACTGCAAATATTGATGTGGAAATATTGCTTTATTGAATGATAGTCCAACATTTCCATTTCGTGGATGCAGTTGAGACAGTCTATGGCGGGAACGTAACTCTTAATTCCCTTTTCTCTACGCTTCAGCAACAGCATCTTAGAATGCACTACATGAAAAGATCCCTTCGCTCAAATCCGTCTCGATCTGAGGAAGAAACGCCTCGAAAACCACCCATGACGTCGCGGCGGTGGCTCAACAAACCACGCCTCCATCCTAACAACTCCCGACTGGACTGGAACACCAGCACCAGCCGCCCCCCGGAAAAGCAAAACGTGGGGGACGACCTAGAACGGGGCTGGAATGCGCAGAACTATTAGGGCTGAATTCCCGGTCCAGTCACGGTGCAGCTTTGCCGCTGGTAGAATCGCCCGTGTGATGTCAGTCGGGATCATAGGTATCACTTCGAGCCCTATATGGAATATAGCAACGCCACGAAGGGGGGTTATAAGGAGCGTTTGAGGTGTGCTTGATGGTTTGGTTTTTGGATAGCAGATCAAAACTGGCCAGCTTTGATTTGAAAGGAAAGAATACTTCTACAAACGTTTTCTCACTTCACTTCGTTCCAACAAATATAAATTAAAAATAGCAAAAACTTGAAAAAAACTTGAGAAAAACCCCCCAAAAAAATTACAACCAAAATGACCGACTATACCGACACAGATACCTACGGCACCACAGGCACCGCCTACGGCACAGCCGGCAACACCTACGACACAACCTACGACAACACCGGCACCGCCTACGGCACCACAGGCTATGGCACAACAGCCCGTGACTACGACACAACTGGCTACGGAACAACTGGATACGGAACAACTGGATACGGCACGACTGGCTACGGAAGCCGCTATGGGTCCAACGCCTACGACAACACTTACGGGACGACGACCTACGATAACGGCTATGGAACGACTGCGTATGATCCCAGTACGGGCGCGTACGATCAGCATATGGATTATCGGACGGATGGGAGTCAGAGACATCATCGCGAGCGGGTGAATCCGAGTGGGACGTATCGGCATCGGGATGTGGACCGACGGGATGATGGGAGTACGAGGGTGCATAGGGAGTATGACAACCCGAACACGGGGACGAGCTACCATCGGGATTTTGAGCGGTAATTTGTTCTGTGCGCAGGGGAGATAAAAGAGGGTTGGCGTTTGGGGAGGATGAGAGGGTTAGATGGGGGAATCATTAAAACTAATGGGTGGTGTATTTGTATATATGGATTGGACTTGAAAATTAGCAAAAAGGTTAAAACAGGATAAAGGACAAAAAAAAAAACGGAAAAGCGTCAAAAAACAGAAAGAAAAAAAGTGGAAAAGAAAAATTCTACAAAAAAAGCGTTCTGTTTTGTTGAGAAGTTCTGCTTGTTTTGCTTGTTGCTTGCATAGATCATGATCTGTTACTATCTTTTGTTATTTAGTTACTTAGCGAGTTGCATAGAAATATCACGATCGTTACGACCCATTTATATCCTTGTTGATAGCGGGACAGGCCGAGTCTTGTTGTTGATATCCACCAATGGTTGTTTGGCTATGCATGGGTCACGGCATACCAGATAAATGCTTGATTCCAGCATAAGCGGTACCTGCATGGCCATATATGCACATAGCACGCCATATATATGTACAAATATCAACAATGGATGTATTTGTAGATATCCATTTGCAAACAGTTGAGTACGTCGAGGTCAGCACTCTAGTGGAACCCGTGGCTAGTGTACGTTTCCCCGGTGACTGGTACCTTTTGAAAAAGCCTCAATTAACCTTGAGGACCGCCCCGTTTCGTCCGAGGGCATCCATTCAAATTCTTCAATATACGCCACACCTCTAGCCGAGTCCGGTATAGCCCACTCTCCAGAGATCCACTGTCGCAGACCCCACTGACTGTACTATGGAATGGGCATTGATTGGACTATAGATATACGATAAGGCACTAGCCACAGTGGAATGGGCGCTGCGCACCGAATCAGTGGTCTTGTTGGTTGGCTGCTTCGGGACACGCACTGTATTAGTTATTTCTTCTGTCTGTCACCACTTCATATGGACTCCGGCGTAGTACGGAATACATGTAAAGTACCTTGCCATACTCCGTAGAGTCCAACTTTGCAGGTATTATACGTATGGCACAATGTCTTTGTTATTGCATAGCATACCACTTGTAGCGCTGTGCATGCACTGAGTACCCTCTAAAACTCCTTCGCCAGTCGCTAACGTGGAACCGCGGTAACAAACCTTCGAACCTTCTGGCATCCGGCATCGAAACCAATCGAATTACCCGCTACCGGTCCAATCAGAGTGTATACCCAGCGGTAAAAATTTTGCTCCAAGCGGGTCCCGACTCGGAATGGCCCTTGGCCCCTCATCGTATGCCTCATCGCATGACTCCTCTATTTGTGCAAAGTATGTACTCTTACTCTATCATGTGATGCCCAATTGCTCGTCTATCATCAATTCACAATGCTATTTATCTTCCATCCAATGTAGATGAATGCACATAGTAAAGATACTTGACAGGAGACCTTCAATTTGGAACGATCAAAATCTTTTTTTTTCTTGCCATCCTGGTAATGATCCACGGGACTAAGCCCAACGTGGCAAGCTTCGTTGGTCCCCGAGACATCGCAAGCCCTAATTGGCCAGTGTGCAGTACGCGGCGAACCGAAAGCGCGGCGTGGAAACAAGGGAAACACAAAAAATCCCCATTAAGGAAATCGATTCGCTCCACATCCCCGAAGAGGGAGGAGGGGGAGTGAGTCTATATAAACGAGGGGTCGCTCGCCTTCTTACCGTTCCTTTTTCTTCTCTGTTCACTATCATCCATCCTTATTAAAGATACCCGTATATTCAATATCTACTAGTTAATCGCAATGGCTCCTCCCGCTTCCGATCCCGCTGTCTACCAGGCTCACCACGATGCCTTCGCCGCTGAGGGTCTCCCTACCTCCCCCGCCGGATGGGTTGAGCGTGCCCAGAAGGTCGCTGGCATCCTCGCCCCTGACGCCGCTACCCGTAACATCGAGCAGAAGGTCCCTCACGCTGAGGTCTCTCTCTTGAAGAGCTCCGGTCTCACCAAGATCCTCGGTGACCCCAAGTACGGTGGTGGTGGCCAGACCTGGGAGGTGGCCTTCCGTGCCATCCGTGAGCTCGCTACTGGCGATGGGTAGGTCAATCCTTAAAGTTCGGAGACCATGGATTGAGGCTAACGAGTTCAATTGTACAGCTCCGTTGGCATGCTTTTAGGTTACCACTTGCAGTGGTCCTCCCTCACCCGCGTTATCGGTACCGAGGAACAGAAGGAGCGCTGGGAGAAGACCATCCTTGAGACCAACTCTTTCGTCGGTGCTGCCGTCAACCCCCGTGACAACGACAGCCGCATCACCCCCAACGGTGAGGGTCTCGTCTTCAACGGTTTCAAGAACTTCACCACTGGCGGTGCTCTCTCCGACCTCATCGTCCTCGAGGGTGTCCACATGGAGACCAACGACCACATCTTCACCATCGTCCCCACCAAGCAGCCCGGCTTCCAGTTCGCCTACAACTGGCACAACATGGGTATGCGTCTGACCGAGTCGGGCTCCTGCAAGATCGAGGAGATCCCCTTCGAGTGGAAGGATGCCCTCGGCTTCGACGTCGAGGCCAAGAAGCCCATCAAGGAGCTCCTCGAGTCCCCCTACGAGACTCTCCTTGGGCCCATCTTCCAGCTCGTCTTCTCCAACTTCTACAACGGTATCGCCCGCGGTGCCCTCCAGACCGCCAAGGGCTACACCACCACCACCACCCGCCCCTGGCCCTTCACCCACAACCCCCAGAAGAGTGCCCTCGACGAGCACTACATCCTCGCCAAGTACGGCCGCTACCTCGCCTCCATCCGCGCCGCCGACGCTCTCTGCGACGCCGCTGGCAAGGAGATCTCCGACCTGTTCCACGGCTATGCTGGTAACAAGCTGGACTTGACTGCCCGCCAGCGTGGTGAGGTCGCCGAGTCCGTCACTGCCTGCAAGATCACCTCCTCCCACATGGCCCTCGAGGTCACCGGCGGTGTCTTCGAGGTCACTGGTGCCCGTTCCACCTCGGAGAAGTACAGCTTCGACCGCTTCTGGAAGGACATCCGTGTGCACACCCTGCACGACCCGTTGGCCTACAAGGAGAACGAGCTGGGCCGTTACTACTTGACCAACGAGATCCCCACCCCTTCGTGGTACACTTAAATTATGTGACATGACGGTTTGGTATGATATGATGATATATTAGCATGTAAATAATTAGTAGATTGCATAAAAATTCATGTACAGGTTACGAATTGCATTTTCTTGTAGAAATCCATTTTTCGTATGGTTACCATTATTGGCTTGTTTATGCCTCAGGCATAATCAGGCGCCAACCCCATGATTGCCTTCCGTCGCCGCCTTCTCCTTGTTCCGTCAGCTCCCCCTCTTGGCTGGCACCCATCTTCACCACCTTCTTTCTACTTCTCAAAATTGCTCCCTTCTCCTCCACCAGCTTCTCATGCTCCCATAAACATCCTAATCATGCCCCCAAGGACGCTGGGTGGTGGTCGTGTCCTGGGCAATGCGAACGCTTTCACTCCCGCCGCGGCCTCATCATCTCCGCAACAACAGCAGCAGCAGCAGCCCAAGGGTGCTGCTCGGGTTCTGTCACCATCCGCCAGCAGCGTTTCTCTTGGGTCGCAGGCATCCGCGTCGCAGTTTTCGTCGGCGGAAAGCCAGGATTTGATTTCGAGGATTTCGTTGGAGAATGGTGATACTTCGATATCAGCGGCCCCGGCGGCGGCTGGGGCGCAGCTTGCTTGTCCGATTTGTAGTGAGGAGATGGTATGTTTCTTTTGTTTTTTCTTTTCTTTTGTTGATACTGTTAGTTTTCATCTATGGTTCAAGATGCTGATCATTGTAGGTGACCTTGCTACAGTTGAATAGGTGAATGATCTCCCCTTCCCCGCGCTTGGACAGCGATTAACCTCCCCGGATCTACAGACACCTCGACGACGTCCACCAAAATCTCGAAGATGACCGCCAAGACGAAGTCAAAGACTGGTTCAAGATCCAAATGGAAAAGGCAAAACGCTTCCAGCCCCTCGCCGTCCTAAACCAGAAACTCAAAGGCCTAGACGTCTTCGAATCGAACGAAAACCTCCAGCCATCCCTCGCAACACCATCCAGTCGACCCCTCGCTCCCGCTGCTTCTTCTTCTTCTTCCTCGCAAACACCGGTTCCGGCTTCTGATAGTGGTCTGAGGCCGTTGGATCCGGATGATGTGATTACAAAGGAGCATTGGCAGCCAAGGACATTTAATGATGTCTGTTTGGAGCCGATGTGCGGGAAGAGGTTGAATGCGACGAATGGATGTGTGCATTGTCGGAAGTGTGGGAAGTTGTTTTGTGAGGAGCATACTATGTATCAAATGAAGTTGTCGAGGTCTGCTCAGCATGAGCCGGTTAGGGGGCTGTGGTCTAGGGTTTGTGAGACTTGTTATAAATCGCGGGAGGGGTATAATGATCATAACGGTATGCCGGTTTCGTTCATATCTTGGGATAGGTTGCTAATGCAATACAGGCTTGGTAAGGAATCAAACCGACGCATTCCGGGCCATGCGGAAGCCAGTCGTCGACAAATCCACGCTGGAAATGTCTCGGTTAGAGAAACGCTTGACACGACTTACTCAACTACTGGCCGGTCTGCCTTTAGAGCAGATCCAGTCCGGGGGGAACAAACTTTGGTCGATTTCGTGGCAGAACGATCAACGTAAGGCTCTTGAGCAGACAATCGTCAGCTGGCAAGACGATGCGAGCGTTCCCAGGTGTCCTTTTTGCCAGCAGGACTTTTCTGCATACACTTTCCGGAGACACCACTGCAGGACTTGCGGGCGAGTTGTTTGTGGTGATTCGGTGACGGGGTGTTCTACGGAAGTGCCGTTGAGCGTTGCACCTAGTGAGTATCTTTGGCCGGGTGATAGTGTTTGTGCTGACTCTTGTAGTGTCGAGGGTGCCTGCGGAGAAAGGTACAACGGGTTTGATTGATGTCGACATTAGGCTTTGTAAGGAATGCAGAGCAACCCTATTCAACCAGCGAGATTTTGAGGCGGATATTTCGCGGAAAACTCCAGGCTTGAGGGCATACGAGAACTTGACACAATTCGAAAGAGGAATTCGGATTTTGCTACCAAAATTTCAGAAGCTTCTAGCAGCTCTACAGTATGTATGCCTGTTGCATGATTGATCGCGCATTCTCTAACATTGGTTCAGAGATTCAAGGCGGCCACCGTCGGCATCTCAAATAGCAGATGCCTCCAAAGTCCGCAAGCGACTTATCGATTCCTTTTCCCAATATGATGTCGCGGCCAGACGGATCCGCGACATGCCAACTGACTCCATCACGCAAAAATGTCTCCAAAAAGCCGTCTACCAACAAGCCAGCAACTTCCTCCACCTTCATATGCTTCCTCTAAAATCACTACCCAAGATCCTCAAACATGCCACACCTAATGGTCGTTTCCCTAGCGCCACAAGTTCTCCCACTCCTAGCAGTTCACCTGCAAATGGACACCGACCACACGAATCCGCTCTCGCCTCCATCAAGTACGGAAATCCGGCAGCCAATGGCAGCGCCAGCAGCGTAACCAGCGAGACGAGCAGCGCTATTTCGACAATGGAGGCTGAAGAGAAGTCTCTCCGCGATCAACTCATCGTATTGGAAGAACAGAAATTCTTTGTATCAGAGATGATTGCCGACGCGAACCGTCGTCGCAAATTCGACGAGGTCAGCAGTCTGGCGGTAAATAGTGAGGATCTGAGTCGGGAGATTGATCACGTCAATGGGATGTTGGATGGTTTGGATTTCGAGGGTGTTTATACTACTATTGGTCAACCGCGGGTATAGGTATAGTTTAGTCGATTCTTGTTCGGTTTTTATAGTTCCGGATTTTGGCTGGGCCCGCGGCGGATAGCCGGTGGCTTGTCTTGGTGATTCTGGTGTTTTGAATGGCGTTCATTGCTATGATTGTTTGGGCCATTGCATAGCACGGCGTTTTGCGCTTATTTGCCTTCATGAGATGTTGGTTGCCGAGCTTGTTTACATATATTTACTTTGTTCGAATATATTTACTTCGCTTGACGTCGTCCAATGGGGCCATTTGAGCGGCCTTGCATCTATCCGCCGAGCGCAAAAAAAAAAAAAGACTGTTCCTGAACAGTCCAGGAAAAAAAGTGATCAATCGTGATCGTCTTCTGATTGAAGCCGAACGCGGGGGTCGAACCCGCAACCTTGAGATTAAGAGTCTCACGCTCTACCGATTGAGCTAGCCCGGCCGGGCTTGTTGAAGGAGTTTGCTAAATAATGTATTATAAACCATAATTCAGACTGGCCCACATAATGCATGCTTGCATGGACGACACAGTCCACTTGTCTGCATGGAGTCGTTATCCGTGATTGGTTCTTAGTATTCCTTGCTTACAATGTACTCTGATTTCATGTTGGGGTTCTTTACTACAATGCTCATTGTTCATTCGCCGAAACACGCGCTACCGCGATATATATTCTGCTCGGTCTTCTCCGCTTGAATACGCAGCAGATGGACAATCATAATATAGCACCCCCGCTTTAACGGTATGTAGTTCAAAGCCGTCAAAGCCGTTAATCCGACGCAGACAGATAGCGCGTTTTGTTCGGGATCTAGTAGGTGGGACCTGCCACTGGAATTTGGTGCATTCAAATAGTGCTACAACGGAATGGATTCCGCCGTGGGCGATGCTGCAGTACACTAAATTAAGTCCTGCATCGCATACATTAGTGCTGTGACTGCTTTTAAATCACCTCTCCCCCCGCGGTCGTTGAAGTGATCTCAAAGAAAGCAACATGGCGGAATCAGACACTCAGACAGTCCTCGTTGCAGCCGTACAAGCAGAACCAGAATGGCTGGATCTACAAGCTGCGGTCGACAAAACATGCTCTCTTATTTGGGACGCCGCTCAGCGGGGTGTCAGGCTAATTGCCTTTCCTGAGTGTTGGATACCAGGGTATCCAGCATGGATATGGTAAGAACAAACCTGTTTCTCCCAGTGTAGCATCTACTGATACGGAAATGTAGGACCAGACCAGTCGACATGGAGCGGGCCGTCGCATATATCCGCAGCTCCCTACGCTATGACTCCACCGAAATGGAGAGGATCCGCACCTGCGCGCTCGAGAACAAAATCAACGTCGCTCTGGGTTTCTCAGAAAACGACCACGGCTCTCTTTACATCGCGCAGTGTGTCATAACCGACAACGGCGAGATCAAGGCGAAACGTCGCAAACTTAAGCCCACACATATGGAACGTACCGTCTTTGGTGACTGCACGGGGGATTCGCTGTTGAATGTGGTCGATACGAGTGTTGGACGGGTAGGCGCACTGTCGTGCTGGGAGCATATTAACCCGTTGTTAAAGTATCATACTTTTTACCAAAGGGAGCTGTACCATGTGGCTGCGTGGCCGCCGGTACGGCATCATTCTGGGGGGTCGGAGCTTTTTAGTATGTCGCGGGAAGGTATGTTACTTGTTTTGGGGAGCATAGTAATGCTCCGGTTTGCTGATAGCTTGTTTTCTTCAAATAGGAACTCGCATTCTTGCTCAGACGTATGCCATGGAATCATCAACTTTCGTAATTCACACAACCTCCTTGATATCCGAGAAAGGCATACAAAAAATGGGAACTGGCGATGGTTCGTTAATGAACGTCCCAGGAGGTGGATCATCCGCAATCTTTGGCCCCGATGGCAGACAACTCACAGAGGACCTTCCCGAGCACGAGGAGAATCTCGTCATCGCCGAAATAAATCCGGATAAAGTACTTGGGAATAGGTGTTTTGTCGACTCGTGTGGCCACTACAGTCGACCAGATCTGCTTTGGTTGGGCGTTGATCTGGAGGCTAAGAAGCGAGTCCGCAGTCAGAGCTCGCCCTCAGCACACCAGCAAGACACTTGATTATGGATAGTCTACCATAATAATAGACAAGAAATCAAGTGTATATTTCTTTCTGAATAAGGAGTTACTATCTGTACAAATAACCTGAAGATGTCCGTTTAGCTACAACGTCTAAGTCCCGAAACTTCAGCAAAGAGTACCCGACTTCTCTACGCTGATGGCCAAAAGCCCAAGCATGGGTATTTATTCTATTTAGTAAGCTTATGATTTGAAGGTAAAGATAGAACAGAGTGTTGACTTTCACCTTGACCTTCTAGGTAGATACCACGATGATTGTGTCTCAGAGACAAGTTTAAATGCGCTAACAAAATGTTGTCAGTGTGCTACGAAGTATATTCTCCTGCGTTGCTACCTTCATATGCGAACCATGCAAAGGCAATCGGAGTGTGGACCCTTGATGAGCTTGCCAGACGATGGCATAACATGGCATTAAAATCCTCCAACTTGCCGTCCGGGAGGTTTTGGACGGACTCGCTCGCAACAACGGGTGGAACCAATTTACTCACAGGCGCTCTGAGAAAGCGTATGGTATGGAGAACTGAAGGGATATGGGATGGCCCCAAAAAAGCTTTTGGCACAGACAAATTCATTCGCCGACAGTTTACTAGCTAATGACCGGGAAGGCTAGTGAGGGTTACGAAAGAATTATATTGCGAACTTGAGTTGCGCAAGGTGCAAAGGATACAGAGGAAGAGCTTCAAGTAACACTTTCCTCTATGATTGATCTGATCTTTCTCTTTCTTGACAAAATAATATTCGTGTTGATTTGATATGTTGGACCGACACTGCATTATATGACCTTGAAATATCACTCGAGGGCGCTGGTTAAGGCTGTAAGTGAACCGCATCTATTCAACGTACAACTCACCTCTTTCATAACATTTACTTTCTTGGTTCCGTAGTTGCTGCATATTTCTCGTCCCCTCCAAAAGAGAACCTGGTGGGCTGTCGCCGCCCTTGTTCTACTCGTTACCTGAGCGGCTCGGTAATCAAGAGACAATGAAGTTTCAATGATATAGTATATCACGCTTTATTTTAAAGTTCTAATCATTTCGTGAGCTTCAGATGGCTGGCTTGCGAAACAAAACATGATCACACCTTCAGCTCCTTCTCGGGCACCACTCTTGCCCATTCATGCTCCACGCGCCCATACATCATATCGCCCAACCATCCCTTAATTCTCCCCGTGATTTCAGTCGGTGTGCCATCGGGGCCAGTTGGGATATTGATGTCTTTTCCGTGGTGGTGAATCATAGCGATCGGAGTAATAAACCACTGCATAATGATCAGTATCTAACTTAATCCACGGGCTGGGATGTGGAACGACGACTTACAGCTGTACCAGCAGCAAACGACTCCAGAAGTCGGCCTTCCGCAGCTGCCTCCTGGATTTCACCAATGGTGAACTTGCGCTCGGTGGCTTCGAGCTCATCCTTCAGTCGCTCTCTCGCCAAGTCAAGGCAACTTCGGCGGGTGACTCCATTCAAGATTAGCTGATCATCCAACGGGGCTGTGATAAGCTCCTTCTTGCCATCCTTGCGTTTCCAAATCACAAAGAAGTTGCTCCCGCATGCCTCGGTACAATTGCCTTCAGGGCCATACAGCCACAGAATTTGATGATAACCTCGACGATAGGCCTCTTGAGTGGCCAGCACCGACGGCCCATAGTTGGCGCCAACCTTGGCATAACCAAATCCGCCCACCCATGAGCGAACCATATCGTCAGGGTTCGTCAGCAGGCGTTTTCCGCCAGCTGGCGTGTCCATGCGAGCCATGTAGCCGACAATGATATACAACAGAGCCTCTGTTGGCCTTGCAACGCCAAGCTGGGAATCTGTGCCGATAATTGTTGGGCGCACGTATAAAAAGTCTCCGGCGCGACTCTTGGGGAGCCACTTGGTACCCTCCACCGAGAGCAATGCATATATGAGTTTTTCTAATTCGTCCGGGTCAAATTGAGGAAGGGAGATCCGCTCGGCAGACATCAGAAGGCGTCTGGAATTGCAGTCTGTTCGAAACATTCGTAGTTTTCCGTCATGGCCTCGGTAGGCCTTGAGTCCTTCGAAACATTCGTAGGCATAGTGGAGGCAGGATGCACTGGGAAGAAGGCTGAAAGGACCGTAGGGCTTCAGCTCCGGGACGGACCAGCCGCTCTCGACGTTCCAAGATGCAACAATAATGTGGTCGGTACAGATTGTCTTATGGGTGCCGGTGAGGATTTTGGCATCGGGTACCTCTCGTGGAGCGGTGGTGTAGGCGTATCTCAACTGAGATGCGTCGAGCGGCCGTACAGAATCCATATGGGAACCCATATTGAAATGATCAAGTGATAACAGGCAAAGCACCGATCTTCCATGTTGCTTCGTTCTCTCGAATGCTTATAAGTGAACTCGACCAACAACTTCATTTTCTGGATAGCGAAGACCATAAAGTTCCCAGGGCGTGCAGACGCGCCCTGTCGAGTGGGTCCGGGTAATCAGTCGAAATGCCATAACGTATTATATGCGTAACGTAATCAACCCTAAGCGACGAATTTAATTCTCCTGATCTTTGCTGGAAGTACCACCACGCCTCTTACTGTCTAATGCGCTGAACACACAATTGAAATCATTGCGGAATACCATAGCAAATAAAATCAAAAGCACATTTACCGCAGGAAGAACATATTTACCGGGTAAACCGTCGTGATGTGGTCGGCGGTCCATGTTTGTAACACCTACAACCTCTTTTAAGTATCTAAAGCGTATATCTTTATCGTCACATTAATCGCAAGATGGAAGATGTATCCAAGGCAATTTTACAGAACGCTTTCGACTTCAATAGTGGCAAGCATGATTGCAAGAGTTTCCTTGGAAGTGTATATGACTGAAGCTCATTGAGAAATTATAGCTCATCGCATTCAGGTTGTCAGTACCCTCGTCCAGCATATTTATCACACCCTCAAGAGCTCCCATCGCCACTATTTGCAAAGAGATAGGCCGCCAATTGTCCGCGGTCTCGCAGAGACGAATCCATCGAATATATCCGAAAAACCAAAAAGGAAGATATTGTGTGTTCCAATCATGTCAGAAACCAACTCGACCGACTGTGAACGAACCCTTCTGCATTTTTCGATGAGTCTAGCGAAAGTTGTCCAAGACATAGCCAGGCGAATGTGTTGAGCATCCTTTACGACCGTATCAGAAACACCGAGAATGATTATGTTGTTACATGCTCGTTTTCTACAACAGCTAGATATTTTTTTTTTTTTTTTTTTTTTTTTTTTTTTTTTTTTTTTTGACAAGGGACTTGATGAAACGATGGGGATAACCACTCTGGCTGGGAAAGCGCGTAACGAGTTAGTTGATATAATATTCATGGGTCGGAGCGGAAGTGATGCCTGGGAGACTGGAGGAAAATTTTAAGGACTACAGTGCTGGTAGTAAGTGGTGTACATATTCTCAAGCTCTGGGAGGTTATGGTTATTTCTTCTTCCTGCCACGAATCCCAATCTCTGTGTAAGTGCTCCTCTTAATCAGCTCAATAACACAACTGACGACCCAAGGTACGAAGTCTTCCTAAATAAGGCTGGCCATTTTGCCTTTGCCGTTGATCATTTTACTAGAATACAGGTACCTGATGTGGTAGAAGAAAATAAAGTCAACGAAGTAGGGTGCAAAATAATGGCCCATATTCAATCGTGCTTTGCCTCGTTAAGGCGAAATGTAGCGTCCATCAAACCTCGGGGACCTCATTCCTGTCAACCGGCAAGGAAGCGCTGCGCCAAGCCCAACCAGAGTTCAAACGATCATGCAAAAGACAGTGGGTACATGTACACAGACCTGTTCGGGATGCTTCGAGTCTAAACACACTTAATGCACAATTGACCGACAATGCGGTAATGAGAAGTCAATTGCGGCACAATAACGTTCAGTTATCTGACTTTCAGTCGACAGCTGACTGATTTGATGGTGTGCAAATCTTTGTCTGTTGATACTATTCATCTGCTAACGGAATCAGTGCAAAATAGCATCCAATGCCAAGCCAATGTGAATGCAACGCCTGGTTCGGATAACTGCAACGATCTTGTCATAGGACATTTACTTCTGGTTATCGAGCCGCATTACAGTAATTACGAGAAGGCACCCTGCAGATGGCTTCATTTACTGATTCCTCCCGAAACTAATGGGACAACCCACCAGCTGCTTTATCCAGGGAACAACACACAAGGAACGGCAAGGGTCTGTATGTTTATCTCCAAACAAATTGACCCAGCCAGTCGGTCCACTCAATGGTATCTCAGGATTATCAGTTTCTAAAGATATCATACCACCGAGAGGAGGAGGCAAAACAGTTGTATATCCACAACATATACAATGCACTACAAAGTGGTACGTTTCAGCGCCTCCGGTACGAGCTTGAACGATTGAGTCACCAAAACCAAGCGGCAGAGTACGTCGTTGTGGGAGATATGAATACACACCACTCGGCATGGGGAGGCTCGGGAACGGCGATGGAAGCGGAGGCGGAGGAACTGCTGGAAGTAATGGATGACGGGGGGCTAGAACTAGCAACGGAGGAAGGAACGGTGACGTGGGAGCGGAGCCACCAGAGATCGGTAATTGACCTGACCTTTATATCAAGTAGTTTGATCAATAGAATGGTATGTTGGGAGAGAGCGGACGACATACAGCATGATTCAGACCACTGGCCAATCCGAATATGTCTCGATGTGACCACCAAGTCAAATGAACCGCCGAAGCGAAGGAACTGGGAAGCTACTGTCAATAAAATTATGCTAGATTTCCTGGAGAAGCATCTAGTAGTCAGGGGCTTAACCCAGGCAACACACCGAGAGATTGAACTTGAGATGGAGACATTTCTGGCAGTGGTACGACGAGCAATTGCGGAATCAACGCCATGGGCGAGGCCGAGCCAGTGTTCAAACTCTGATTTTGGCCCGGGATGCAGGGAGATGGTCAAAACAGTAAGAGCCCTTCGAAGACGATACACTCGAGCAACGACCCATATGATTGGACCAATTACACCATTGCGAGAAAGGAGAAGAAACGATGGGTAGGCAAAGTGCTGAAGATTGGGCATCGCAGACGGGTACAACAAGCCACTGAGGGTCCGCAGGGGATGTGGCGGCTAGCAAAATGGGCCAGGAGCAGGAGCGGTGCGCACGAGCAAGGAATCACGCCAATACTGACATCACCAAGTGGAAGAAGAGCCGAAACGGTGGAGGACAAAATCGAGTTACTCTGTATTTCACTGAAGGGTGTCAAGGAGGCGCAACTGGCACGCCCTGGTGGTGGGTCCAGACGGCGTTCTCGGTCATGTCAGCGCAACGCCGAACCACAACGTGCGGTCACTTGATCTCGAGCTTTTCTGAAAATATTGCCCCCACCGTCGGGATGAGTACTGTGGTCGATGCGGGAACCTCTCTGGTGGCCTACGGGTGGAGAACCAAAAAGAGGACATTGGTGGACTCAGGTCGATGCCTTACAATTGTCGAAGAAAATATACCGCTGGACGACCTAAAAGATGCCAAGGCTCTTTAAGGGTATACTGTAATTTCTAAATTGACAACAACTTGTATTTTGAATCATCAATAAATTCTTTATGCAAGGCTTCCTGTATGCCACGGAGCCACAGTCTTGCCATTTTGTGGTAACCCTTGTCATCAGGGTGTATGCCATCAACAAGGTCCTGGACTTCAGGTCCTTCCCATGTGTACATATCGACCAGGACAATCTTCTTCTGCTCAGTCGCCTTTTTTCTGGCTAAAGCGCGAAACTGATCATTGACATGCATCACCGCTGAATCCACCTCCTTGTCCGCATTGACAAGTAAAGTAGAAAGGAGAATGGTGGACTGAGGGGAGGCTAGCCAAAGATAATCGAGCATGTCACCCATGCGCTTGCCTACTTCTGGGATCTTGAAGGACTGGAGGCAGTCATTGGAGCCAGCATTAACCATGAAAATCTGTGGTGACAACCTTTTCACCGACTTCCTGGCCTTCCTCTCGATCTCGTTAATTCTGAAGCTGCGCCAGCCCTCATGGTCATTGTTGGGCATGGAACCATCTTTGCGCGAGCCCACCATGTGGGCATTGAGGCCATGGAGTCGGAGCATTTGCAATAGCGATTTTTTATACCCTGTCCCATCGGATGATCCAACGCCGCGTGTAACTGATCCGCCCAAGGGCATTAAGCGCAATACACCTTCAGCAGCGGTTTTGGAGGAGCAATCTAGAGCATTCAGAAGTTAGCCATGGGCTCGTGACATCCGCCATCGTGTCACAACCTGGCTTCCCTTGTATCGTACCTAGGGTTCTAGTTAGTTGTATTTCGAGACAGGACACTTACCCTAAGTGCCTCCCAAGCATTCATATGCTTAATGACCATCCAGGTCCTCTGTATATCACGTCGAAGGTATCTCGCCCCCTCCAGGCTCCGTAAGGTAGTCAACAGGTAAAATCGGTAAAGGTAACGAATAGAGAAACAAGGCCAACCGAGCACGTATGCTGGGTTGTTGGTTAAGTGCGGACGAGTCAGAAACTAGAAGGTAACCAATGCTTGATTAATTAGATTGATTGCGAAGAGCTAAACTAGGTGCATGAATGAGTGTCCTTTTATATCTTGTCCAGTATACTCCCCCATCTACTCCTTAGGGAGTATATCCTGAGTCGATCCAATCAGGTTGTGCCTGGGTGTATACTCTTTCAGCTACTCCTCCTGGGGTATATCAGGAGTAGGTGATCACGTGACATATCTGTTGGTTATCAACTTTGATCCCTGCTTTTCCTGCGCTTTGTCTTTTGCTGCCACCCAATGATTCTGCCTTGTCTCCCCCCATAATCACGTGAGATTGATGCAGTGAGGTCTGTAACACCCTGGGAGTCCCAAGGGTTGAGAGAGTCCATTATTGCAACTGCTTGGTAACTGATCCTCGACTGCGTGGATATTCTTTGAATAGTTAGAATTAAGAACGGAAATTGAATTTCATGTAAAGTTCAGTATTTAATTACCTCGTGCGGGATAAATCAGCTTAATAAGAGCTAACTGCTTGGCTCATGCGACCTGTGTACACAAGCAGCGGCTCGCTGTTGGGCGTTACGGGTGGAAATGCGGCCGTTAACAGCCTCAGAGATAGTCATTTTCAGCGTCATTTTCATGGGTCCTTAGATTCTATGTGTAATTTTTCCAAGGCTATCCCATTAACAATAGTTACATCAGTGGATGCGGGTCGACACCGAGCGTACGCCTGGAAGGGGACTTACCAAAGTCCGGGAAGCGATCAATATCACCATATGCCATGGATACGTTAGTACTTGACACGCAGAATGTGTAATATCTGGATAACTCATTCTCAACCTCAATATGCTTGCAGGTCGCATCAGAGGTCAAAACGTGGCGGTGCTGTCAAACTTCCCCGGATCCGGAAATCCGGGGGGGACGTGGGGGTGACTTTGCGGGGAAGCCAAACCAAATAACGTGAGCCCTATGCTGGCGGGATTGTCGCACGGTTCGCTGTCAATCTGAGAGATTCAAGTTTGTCCATGAGGAGTTACATCCCCGTGCTTGTATATAAATTGGCTTAACCATGGCTCTCCATCCCTATCGCTAGTCTACGCTTATCACAATCAATCCATCCTATTAAGTACCATGGCAAACAAATCACAAACAACCCACCATGAAAACAACCCCCCCATCAACCTCCCCATCAAACCCCTCATCAAACCCCCCAACATAGACCCCACAAGCCTCGTCCGCATCCCCCTCAGCGAAGAAGACAGCAAGCGCATTCGCCGCAAGACCGACTGCGTCATTCTCCTCATCCTGATCTGGGTATATTTCCTCCAGATTCTGGATAAGACGGTCCTAGGATATGGTGCGACATTTGGCATGCAAGAAGATGCGCATCTCACGGGGAACCAGTACTCGCTTATCGGATCGATTGCACCGATTGCCCAGCTTGCGTGGCAGCCGTTCTCGTCGTTTTTGATTGTGAAGGTGCCGCATCGGATTCTTATGCCGGTATTGTGTTTTGGGTGGGGAGTTGCGCAGACAGCGATGGCGGGGTGCCATAGTTTTGGGGGTTTGATGGCTACACGGTGAGAGATTCTGTTGAGATGAGAGATAGAGGGCGTGACTGATTGTTGATAGATTCCTCCTTGGTCTCTTCGAAGCCGGGTGTCTCCCGCTGTTCAGCATTATCACTAGCCAGTGGTATCGTCGTGCCGAGCAGCCGTTGCGCATTGCTGCGTGGTATAGTACCAATGGCGCTGCGACGGTCGTTGCAGCGGCTCTTTCGTACGGACTGGGCCATATCAAATCGCATATATTATTTCCATGGCAGATGTGAGCACAAACACTCGAAAATAAAAAGCATAGTCTCACGTTTTCTAGTATATTCCTTTTCGTCGGCCTGGTGACAGTAATAACTGCCCCCTTCGTCTACTGGAAACTAGACAACGACATCCCCTCCGCGCGCTTCCTAACAGAAGAAGAAAAACCCCAAGCAATGGAGCGTCTCCGCGCGAACCAAACCGGTACAGGAAACCGCGAATTTCGCATGAAACATGTCACAGAAGCAGGCCTTGAGCCGAAAACATACCTCTGGATCGGAATGGCAATGCTACTGAACATCGGCGCAAGCGTGACCAATGTCTTTGGTCCGCTTATCCTCAGCGGGTTGGGATTTGACAAGTATCGAACTACGCTGCTCAACATGCCGTTTGGGGCGTTGCAGTTAATTGTTATTTTGGTTGCAAGTTATCTGGCGCAGAAGGCTCGGCTTAAAGCGGCGATTTTGGCGGCATTTATGCTTCCTGTTGTTGCGGGGTTGGCTATTTTGTATGCTATTCCAAGGACGCAGTCTGTGCAGGGTGCCTTGCTGGCGGGGTACTATCTTCTTGCGTTTCTCTTCGGTGGGAACCCGCTAATCGTCACTTGGATCGTGGGTAACACCGCCGGCACGACCAAGAAATCCATCGTCATGAGTCTTTTCAACGCGGCTACCTCGGCGGGGAATATCGTCGGGCCCTTACTATTCAGCGAAAAGGACGCCCCGTCCTACCATCCAGGTCTCCGAGCGTGTCTGGGGATCTTTGCGGCTTTGGTTGCCGTGGTGCTTATACAGTGGGGTAACCTTATTGTTTTGAATAGGATGCAGGAGAGTCGGAGGGTGAGAAATGGAAAGCCCGCTAAAATGGTTGATCGGTCGATGATGGATCAGTATCAGGAGGCCGGGGACCAGGAGGATCGGGAGGATGGGGAGCAGCAGATTGGGGATAATGCGTTTTTGGACCTGACGGATCGGGAGAATGATGAGTTTGTGTATCTTTACTGATTTACATGGTGGTACCCAGTACTATATATAGCAATTTGCAGCAACCTTTTTGTACGTATGTATTGGACAGAATTGTAGCTCTGGAATTATTGATAAACCAAATAGCTTCGACCACACACGCCCAAGAACGCGAAAGACATTGAACCAATAAGCCCTAACGCTGACATTCAAACTTTCAGCACCCTCACCCAAGCCATATCTATATCATTCATCGAAACTACACTTCAACGTAGTTGCTTGACTCTCCAGATCAACCCACAAGCCGGTTTTCTGACCCTCCGGACGTCTAATTCAATAAGCGCCATTGCTCGACCAAGGATGTCCATTCTCAAGATGCGATGGCTGAGAGCCATTTCATCGAATAAAGTGGAACTGGTTGCAGCCGAAACAGAATATGCGAAGCAGCTTTGGGATCGAACCAAGCTCCAAAGACTGTTTCTGATGTTGTAGGTTCCCAAGTGAAGAGCATAATAAATGGATATGGTGTCTTTACAAGACTTTGGAAAAGTGATGCGTGAATGCTATCTAATCCTTGTGCAATTAGATCCAAATCAACCCTTATATGAGCGGATGCTGTCTGCGAGCGGATGGGGATTTGCTGTGGAAGGATGAAAAATGAAATAGCTCGAAGAATTCGTGTAGGTAGTTCTTCTGATAATGTTTTTTATTGTCTTTGATACTTGGTAATTTACAATTTTTTATGGCTGGAATAGTCAGATTTGCCAATTGGACACACTTACCAATAAGTCCATTGTACTGGGATTGTAACGGCTTAGCCTAGCGCCTTCATCAGCAAACATCATCAACACGGCAAACAATACCATGGAAGCAATAAAGACAAACAAGCTGCTTAGCGAGACCACACACAACCATATGGGACTTCTTCACGTAAACAGACTTGCCTCTAATTTTTTTATCTTCTCCAGATTCGATATTCTCGTCGATGGCTACTAGTTGGTTTAGACAGGAATATCAATTCGTTAATATCTTCTAGCTATTGAGCCCGTGACACCGGCAGGAATATTAGGCATGAGCCATTTTTCACAACCTTCTTTTTTCATTTTAGATGAGAAGCGACTTAACCGAGCCTCAGCATAGTTTATTACGGAGATAATAGACCTCCCAAAAGCGGAGAACTTCCTTATTGGGAATAAAGTGGGTTTTATATCATATCTATACCATTAATACCTCTATACATGGAGAGTAAACAGAGTATGTCGAAAGAGAGGCAGAAAAAAAGAAACATATATTTATATATTCAAGGAAAGTGAATTAAAAGAAATGGCGCTAGGAATCAAACCGCAAGCTTCCATAAAAAAAGCAAAGCCAGGATGAACGAGCTACCATCTAGGCTCTGGATTACAGAAGCCTAAACTCCAATTTTAATATACAACCAAACCCTGGACACTGTGCCTACGGACGGCTGAGACAGACGAAGTCCCTAGAATGTATAACCTAGGCTGCAAGGACCAGGCCGCAGGAATTATTCATGGAAGCGGTCCGGCAACTTGATGAACATGGGTGGTGGTAAACGAGGTAAAAACCAATGCTCTGCTTTAGTATTTAATGTGGCACAATCCATGCAGTATTTTTTTCTGGCTTAGAGAAAACGTGTCTGAAGAAGCTGCTTTAAGGCCTGCTTTTTACCTGTAGCGTTAAGCTTTAGATCTTTTTGGGCGCCCGCTAGGGGCAGTCTGAGTTTCACGTGGACGAGCAGCAGTGCACATATAGCTAAGTGGGCCCTTACTCGAGAAACCGGAGCCCTACAGGGCCTGGTAGCTATCCATGTGCGGCGCAGTAACCGGAAAGCAGCGAGCTATGAAGTGCCTTTTGTCTAGTATCGGGATATATCGATGTAAGATGGGACGAGACTGACATTAGTGGAAGCGTCGCCATAATTTAGAAATGGACTGATAAAATAGCGAAGACGCACGTGATAACGCGAATGCTGACACAAGCAAACAAACAAACAACACCAGTCACTCCTGTCCTTCCTTTCATCTAAATCTCCCATTGATGCTAACACAATTGATCGAGAAGAGGTATATTACCGTGGTTACAATACCTACCACCTGAGCTCATATGTGCCATCGTAGGCTACTTTGACACGGATGAAGACATAAACTCTTTTGTCAGAACGTGCTGCCACTTATACAAGGTAAACGATATCTTGTACGTTTACAATGCCGTGTATGGCAGATGTCCGCCCTCCTGTGGACAGCAAGATATGGAATACTTAACACCACCTTGTACTCGTTAGATGCGAGTTGTGGGGTCTTGAATGCAATCGACACTATTCACCAGGCGCTCCCATTAGCAGTTCGAAGGAAGCATACAGCTGTGGCACGAATACTCCTATCCCAAAAAAGAGTCGACGTGGATATCCAACATCAGGAGAACCAATATCAGAAGACCCAATATCTTTATCAGGATCAATATCAGGAGCTCCATCGAAAGACACATTATCAATTTGGTGCAACGCTCTTAGCAATGGCAGCTCAGTCCGGAAAAGTGGAGATTGTCAACTTCCTCCTCTCAATGAAAGATATCAATCCCAATTTGGGGGATGAGTCAGGACTTTCGCCTATAGCCTACGCTGGCTGCAATGACCAACATGCCGTGATTAAGGTATTGCTCGACGCACCAACTGTGGATCCAAACTTGAAAGACTGCGCAGGCCGCAAGGTTTTTACTGGATTATTAATAACGGATCAGAAACAACTACATCTATATTCTTATTACACCCGGATGTCGGTATTAATGTTGCTGTGGAGGGTAACCACAAATTGAAGGAAGGATGGACCCCTCCCATGGCCGCTGTAAATAGAAAATCCACGAAGCTTGTGGAGCTGCGTCTTGATATGCCTGGTATCGATGCAAAGCATAAGTGCTGCTATGGGAAGACAGCATTGCACCTCGCGGCTACCGATGGATCGGAGGATATCGTGCAATTATTACTTGCGAAAGGGGTAAACACTGACCCTAAGGATTATTATAATTGTACACCCCTAGTGAACGATACATCCCGTGGCCACCTACCTATTGTGAAACTACTGTGTGAAGCTGGAGCTTGCGCAAACACCGAAACTGACACCGGTGATACGCCAATCCTTGTGGCCTTCTATAGAAAACGCGATGATATAGTTCGAGTTCTGTTGGAGATAGGTAGGATGAGCCCGGCTTCTCCAGGCAAAGGAACCAAAAAAAAAAAAAAAAAAAAAAAAAAACCTCGTTCTTTGGTGTCGGCTGCTGGGCTCCTTTCTCGATCGAGCAAACACTGGACAGGACAGAATCCAGTATATCATGAGTCCATGACCCAAAAGCTCGCCATCCTCGTGTTACAAATATTTGTCTATCTTTAATGTCATCTTATAACCAAAGTATTCATATACAGCCTTACCTAGGACCCTCCGCCTAGTGCGAGAAGAAAAATAGTAGAATCGTGCTTTCATACAAACGCAGCATGTCAAACCGCGGCCGATCCAGTCTATTCTAGATTTGCGCATTTTTGTTGCAAACATTGTCGTTCACTCGCAAAGGAAATCACCACAGGACTGTATGGTAAGTGGAGGCACTGGATTCTCTTTTTGGATAGTTACTATTGCTACATTACTTCGTAAGTTAAATTCATACACCTTTTGCTTTTTTATTTTATTTTTTTTTTTTTCACGCATTTCCTTATATCAGTAGCCATGTACACTACGAACATACTTTATTGATCCCTCCTCCCATTGTGGCTACCTAAATTGTTTATACCATACTCTTCTCATACCCCTTTTCCATGATCAACGGAAGATGTACCCAATCCCCAACGGAAAGCCCTTCACAAACTTAGAAGAGCCCGTGCCTTTAGCAAGCAACCCTGACACCATCAAAGAGCAAACTCATATGCCTAACCCGTCGCTCCAGGTGACGGCGGACCACCAATTGAAGCAGTTAGAGGCTCCTGTACTGGCACCCAAGAAAGGTGATGTCCTGCTCCAGGCCAAAGTGACTGGGATTTGTGGGTACGTGTTCCAGCATTCCTCGATTATGTATGTATTTCCTTAGCTTATATTATGTTAGTTTTGATGTGCACTTTTGGAAGTCCGGCCGCATTGGCTCGCTTGTATTCGCAGGCGATTGCATTTTGGGCCATGAAGCATCTGGCGTGGTGCTGAAAGTTGGTGACGGTGCAAATGACCTGAAGCCCGGTAAGACGTCCGGCTATCACTCCCATTACTTTGTACTTACGGGCTTTGGTATCCCAAATGATCGTGTGGTTGCCGAGCCCGGCGTGCCATGCGGTTTATGCTTCATGTGTACTGACGGTCGGTACAATTTGTGTGCCGATGTCAAGTTTTCCGGGGTCTACCCTCATCACGGCACGATGCAGCGATACAAAATACACCCTACCCGCTGGGTGCACCGGTATGCACACATCAATCTCTGCGGTTTAAAATTAATCAAGTGCTAATGACAACTATCACAGCCTACCAGACAACGTAAGCTACGCTGAAGGGGCATTGCTAGAACCGCTATCCGTAATCATGCATGGAATCAGAAGCGCTGGTCTCAGCCTGGGTCGCGGTGTGGTTATCTGTGGCGCTGGCCCAATAGGCTTGATTGCACTAGCAGCTGCCCGTGCCTCAGGTGCCCATCCACTAGTAATCACAGATATCGAGCCGCGTCGTCTGGCATTCGCCAAAGTTTGTCCCCAGCTGCGTCGCCTATCAAGTGAACACGCAACTGGGTGCGGAAGGAAACGTACGCACAATCCAGAAACTCTTTGGCTCTGATGAGTACTTCGCTCCAGAGACGATTCTTGAGTGTACCGGTGTGGAGACGAGTGTTTGCACGGCTGTGTGTGCGGTGCGTCGTGGAGGTACGGTTATGGTTATTGGTATTGGGGGCGCGATTATGAATAACCTTCCGTTTATGCATATTTTCCTCGCAGAGGTAAGTCAGTATCTATACTTGTTGCGCTTTTCCGTTTGCAAAGAGCCCCATAATCTCACTCGCATCGCACCATTATTTAGATCAAACTCAAGTTCATCAATCGCTATCGGGATACTTGGCCATCTTGCACTGCGTGTTTGTCAGATGGAACTCTGGATTTTAAAAAACTGGTTACACACACCTTCGCGCTGGAACAGGCAAAGGAAGCTTTGGAACTGGCCTCGGAATGGCAGTATCAAGGTGTTGGTGGTGGATGTAGTGCAGGCGACATTTTAGGTAACACTTTATGCAAGGTAATATGTGTAACGTACATAAGGAATGTATAAAAGACATTGAAATTTATAAAGTTGCAGCCTATCTGTATAGTACTTGGTGCGAATCTGATTACGAGCAATACAAAATACTACACTCAGCGTTGCGCGAAGCCGCCCTAGCAAAAGACTTAATTTCTGCTCCATGCTCACCGAAAGCCAACTCAGACTCAACAATCTTCAAATTCGCCTAAAAAACAGGCCCAGTCAAGTTGAGTTCAGTTCAATGCTTAGGGCTGCCCAAGTGGGTCAGGCGTGGAGTTGCTACGAGCGGCGGGAGCGGCGGCAGCGCTTGCAGTTGCCATTGTGTGTGTTTCCACTTGCCTCAATCCGCACGTCATGCTTCGACTTGCCTTCAGCAGCAGGGATAAAATGGCCCACTTTTTGCCTTTGAAGAAAGTCCGGAAAAGAGGACATTTGAAGGTCCCTATATATGGAATGCATGACGTTGCCGTGCTCATTAAGAATCCCAGATGAATAAAGCTCTGTTTTAAACATTCAACTTTCTAAACCCATAAATCTCTGGACTCATTGTTGCCACCATTAAGGATACTCCAAAAAGTCAGTACAGGTTATGTAACAAAAAAGAAGTACAATGGGATTAAAATCACCAGTTTCTATAAAGGACTTGAAATTCAATATCCCCGTGCCATACAAAATACACGTGGACCGGGAGCTTCTCGAGCAAACCAAGCGGAAGCTGTCCTTGGCCCGATATCCAGAGGAGCAGTCCGATTTTGGAGAGGACAATTGGACACAGGGCGCTAAAGTGTCCCGGGTGAAGCAATTGACCGAGTTCTGGAGAGATCAATACAATTGGGAAGAGGAGGAGGTGAGTTGATAATGAACATCGCAAGGTGGTTTTGATGTGCTAAAAAAAGCCTACCAGCGACAACTGAATGCTGCTTTTAACCACTTTCTGGTGAAAATCGATGTCCCTGGCTATGGGTCCCTGGTGCTACACTACACGCACAGCCAGTCCTCCCGCTCGAATGCGATCCCGCTCCTATTCTCACACGGCTGGCCGAGCTCGTTCGTGGAAGCTGTGCGTGTTGTCCACCCACTTACCGAGCCCGATAATGCAGCCGATCCAGCCTTCAACGTAGTCGCACCCTCAATCCCTGGTTTCGGCTTTTCCCCCGCTCCCACCAAGTCAGGCGTCGGCCCCAACATCGTTGCACGTTCCTACAAGATCCTAATGACCGACGTCCTGGGATACCCCAAATTCGTAACCCAGGGTGGCGATTTCGGCTCTTTCATCACGCGCTCCATCGCAATTCAGTATCCCCAAGTAGTGCGCGCACAGCATCTGAACATGTTCCCTGCGCCGCCGCCGACCCTCTGGTCCGCTCCGCTCGCTTATCTGCGCTGGTGCTTTTCCGTACTCACGTACTCAGATTTCGAGCACAGGGCGCTACAGGTTCGCTGGAATTTTGAACAGGACTAGAGCGGGTACTTGGAAGAGCAGAAGACATGACCGCAGACGCTGGGTTTCGCGCTGGGCGATTCTCCTGTCGGTCTGTTGGCGTGGTTTGTTGAGAAGTTCCATGACTGGGCGGAAGTGTATGAGGCTTTGAATGATTCGAACCTTATCACGCTGGTGATGATGCATTGGATCCAGGGCGCGACTCCGGCTCTGCGGTTCTATTGGGAAGCTTTTGGTCATGGGATGAATGAGGCGGGGAAAACGTTTGAGACGTATGTCTCGATTCCTACTGGTGTGAGCATGTATGCGAAGGAGCAGCTTCACGTAAGTTTAGAAGAAATGAAAAGAAGACCCTGTTATGACGTAGATTGCTAACAATTACTCCCCAGTGTCCCCGAGACTGGGCCACCCAGGCCGCTAACATCCAGTACTGGAGGGAATATGAGAAAGGCGGGCATTTTTCATCTTTGGAAAGGCCGGACTTGTTCATAAAGGACCTCCGGGAGTTTATCTCCTCATCTATTGTTCTCAAATCATATATTCGAGAGTAGATAGACTACTGTGCGAAGAATAAGCCAAGATAAATACTTTGTATACACTCATATTTTTACCTGTTCTAGCCAAGCCCCCATAGCATCCTCAGCGCAGCAGCACGATCCGCAGTCTTCCAACCAGTCTCACGCTCAATACGAGCCAGTTGCTTCAAAAGCAAAATCTTCTCAGCAGCATACTCCTCCTCATCCGGTCCCAAGTCATTTATTGCAGATGACGAAGTGTAAGGGTGGCGCTCCGATGGCATACCTGAGGCTACTTCCTCGCACCCAGGGGCTGTGCGGTTACTGGCAAATACTGTACCTGCGATGTACAGGGGCTGGAGATGATTTACCCAGTTTGCGCTAGCTGGGGATTAGCAAGGGGATACAAGGGTTACTGAGAAGGCCACTCACTGTGATGAATTGGATATGGAGATACCAGCGAGCTCGCGCGCATGCCAGAATGCGTTATCCTGTGGAGGTATGTCAGGACTCTGCCTTCTGAGACTCATATGAATCACTCACAGCATCTTCCAGGAGAGACGAAGAATTAGGAACTTGGAGAAGCCCCGTCTGCAGGAGCAAAATAGAACCAGTATGATAAAAAGTATTGCCGCAAACTACGCAAATTATTCTGTTAGTATGATAGTGTACTATAAGCGAATCTAGGGACGACTCACTGGAAGATGCATGAGTGTAAACAATCGTAGGGAATACCTTAGAGGACACCGAAGAGTCCCTCAGCAGTGGACAGACTTCCTGCGGACGAAGCCGGTACCACTTCTGAAGTTCATCCCGTAGACTCGACACTGAAGTAGCCAATGCAGGCTGATGCCTTTTATCAGTATGTAGTAAGTTTACGATCTGTGCAAAGATCAAGATAGCCAGGTTACAGTAGTCATCCACGTTGCCTTTTGTCATCACGGATTCGATAGACATGTCATCTACCCAAAAAATCAGTAGGAATGAGGGTTGCCTTGCCGCTGATGAAGGCGGCCCAGGCATCTGTATACAATCAGTTGTCACCAGCTATCATGAATAGGTCAAAGCCACCTACCGATTCGAGCGAATGCCCAGAAGCAAGCCTTTACAATACCCTGACTCGACCCATTCCACTTTTTAGCCTGGAGTAGGCTTGCGCAACCCTAAAAGGATCAAGAGTTAGATAGTTCTCACAAAAAACGAAACATAAGCAAACCTTCAAATGCCGTCGCCATTCATGAACCCCAGATGCCATCATCTCATACACACACAGCAACGTGCAAGTTGCCAGCAGTGACGCATCTACTTTAGCAGGATCCTGACGAAGAAGCAATTGGACGGTATATTGGTACAGCTCAAGTGTAATTGGCTGTTGTCGATGCTCGACATGGTCCAACTGACGCGAGGCTAGAGACATCGCCGCAGCAGTAAATGCAGCGGACTTCATTACTTCGTGGGTACTCCGCATTGTGAAATGCATATCGGAATCCGTCGTCTCACACCAGGTACCGGTTTCTTGCATGTACGAGCAAATCAGACGCACCTTTTCCGCATTCGATACAGGCAATGAGGATTCCGGGGGTAGGGGGATATCATTGGAAATTGCCTGACCGAGAAAAAAAGGTGGGGCGTACGTCGAGGTATCTAGGACTATCGGGCCACTAAACGACCGAGGGCGTGTTGGCTCTGGCAACGGAGGAAATGCCAGGTCCAAAGACGGCCCTGTCGGGGTTTCAACTTCCTGTCCAGATAGCAGGTCATCTATGTGGGTTTCAGTATCTGCTATCCCATCACCTTGCTGCTGAGTAGATTTGTATGCATGGAGATCGGAGTCGAATTTCTCCGAATCACTTTCCAATCCGGAATCACGGCCACTCCCTGGAAAGGTCAATGCTGAGGCACCGTTTGTAATAGATTCCTCTTCGTCGTCATCATCATCCTCCATACCCTCGCGTAACCGGAGCAGATCCGAGTCAGACATAGAAGGAGATGGCGCATCCTCGAGAGTGCTATAGCTCTGTACAATGCCCTCCGTTTCGTCAATAATCTAAGCAACCAATAAGCTTCCATTCGCATGGCTTTGAGACAGCAAGTTGAAGCGAACCGTAGCAAAATCCCGAGCACGTCGCGATGAATGATTCCACCGCTCTTGCAATACCGCCAATGCAGCGGTCTCCCAATGCGACAAGCAAAAATTGCGCGAAGGATGGAAAGAGACTTTCAGTCCCCATTGGCAACTGTATCCCCTCGATCCGCAATTTCGACATCGTGGACGGGCACCATCACCTGTTCAACCGCAAACCCAATATGGCATATCAGCTAATCTATTCATAACATTTTCTGGTCAATGTATAGTCCATACACTTCCGGCGCCGATTGCGGCATGGCAGGCTAGCAGTACTCAAGTTAGCGCGGGTATGGGTACTTTCTATGGACAAGGCACATACCAACCAGACCTGGACCGTTTTCTCTTGACAGCCATTTTCCTAGTGGGCTTACTACTACTGCCCATGCACTGTGGATTCTGGGAAAGGCAAGAAGAATAGTTTAGGAAAGAGGCAATTGTTCCTGACGGTAACCCGCAGGTTAGAGGAACAGACAACTAGGCAAGTGGTGACTAATTAGGTCATTCTGCCAATTTCCAGTTATTCTACCGTATCCTTACTCTGTAGAGTAAGTACCATGTGGCTGTTGCATTTGCGGGGGGAAACAGGTGCTCTACATCATCCGCCGCTAGATCAGGTGATCTACATTTGACTGTCGGAAATGTGGCTTAGTCAGGGTTGAAAGTACGTATCAAGCGTATATGGTTGAGGTCTCTGATTCTTGCAAAAGTGTGCTATCTAGGATCCTATATACGACCGTAAATACCTTATAGAGTATACTAAGCGATTGTGCGGTTTCAAAAGCAGTAATAGCAGAGTAAATACGCTGCTTTGCGCCATATGATATCAGCAAGGCATCAATCAGGCATCAGTTGGTATTGTTCGGTAAGGAACCTCTATATTCCGACATTGACTAACTGTATCGGTAAATTACCACATTCGGAACGCTGGTCGGGGAAACTGGAAGCGCCGGGGAAACACATGCTATTCACAAAGTAGTTTACAGCCATAGTAGCAGGGTATACACTGAAGTATCAGTGAGACCAAACTTTCCTCAATCATAATAAGACTAATTGCGCAAGTTCATGAGTTACCTGGAGAAAGATCAATACGCTTATATTCCTATAAAGGTCACTTTCCAAGAAGATGGGTTTTCCTGGACATACTTCAACAAACAGCAAATGCTACAGTTTCCAGTCTATCTCCTCTCCGCATCTTTTTCCTAAATCCCCTAAATAACTTCAACAATGAGCCAGTCCAAAGAAGTCATCATCATCGGCGGCGGTGTCTCGGGCCTAGGAATGGCCGCCCAACTGAGACGAAACCTGGGACACAACAACTTTACGCTCTATGAGAAATCAGACAATATCGGAGGTACATGGTGGCATAACCGTTATCCAGCGTGTGCGTGTGATATTCCGAGTCATCTGTACTCGTATAGTTTTGCTATGAAGAATGACTGGAGTACCATATTCCCCGGACGAGGTGAACTTCATGAGTGTACGCCCCTTCCTACTATTCTATCCTTTCTTTATAAAGAAATGTGTACTAACAAAAAGTATAGACTTCTCTTCTGTGGCCCAAAGATATAACATCCTACCACATTGTCGGTTCAATGCCATGTGTGTTAGTCTGGTCTGGGACGATGTCCGCTGCCTATGGGTGTGTACTTTCCAGGACACTATTTCCGGGGAAGTCTTCAAACGAGAAGCTCCTGTCGTTGCCAGCGCAGTCGGTGCTCTCGACCGGCCCTACACCCCCGATATTGAAGGATCGAATTTTTTTCAGGGCAAGATCTTCCACAGCGCGACATGGGACGATAGCTTCCAGGCCAAGGGGAAGAAAATCGCTGTCCTGGGAAATGGGGCCTCTGCTACACAGTTTGTTCCTGAGTTGGTCAGACACGTAGGGTCAAAGGGCAAGGTGATTCAATTCGTCCGCAGCGCGCACTGGTGGACAGAACGAGTAAGCAAAATCCCTCAAACTATGTAATATACAACAAGGATTTAAAACGTACGGGATCAGGGCAACCCAAAATACTCAGAAGCATTCAAACTCGCTCTAAAACACATCCCCCTCGCTGCTCGCCTTTACCGCATAATTCTCGCCTGGCAACTCGAATCCATTTTCCCGTCCTTCTACATGAACTCCCGCGGTGCAGCCATGCGCCAAAAAATTCGCGAAAACACGTTCCACTATGTTAACACGGCCGCACCCCCGGAGTACTGCGAAATTCTAAAACCAGACTACGAGCCCGGCTGTAAACGCCGCATCAGCACGGCAACCTATCTGGCTAGCCTCCACTCGCCCCAAATGCACCTAACAAAAGACTCGGCCGTCAAAATCGGCCCGAACCATATCGAAACCGCATCTGGTCAATGCCACGCAGTCGATGTTATTATCTACGCAACGGGCTTCCAGACCCAGAAATGGCTGTCCACGATTCAGATCAGGGGCATCGAATGCAAGGACTTGCACAGTATCTGGGACGCCGCTGGCGGCGCAGAGGCATACAAGGGTACTGTGGTAAGCGGGTTCCCAAACTTCTTCATATTTTACAGGCCCAACGCAGGGACGGGGCAGCACTCTGTTATCTTCCACTCCGAGTGCCAGATTAACTTTACCTGTCAGCTGCTACGACCCGTGCTGGCTGGAAACTCGGAAATGATTATGGTGAAGCCCGAGGCGCAGAGACGTGACCTATCATGGGTACACGGAAAGCTACAGCATCTGGTATTCAACAGCGGGTGTCAGAGTTGGTGGATGGATCCCGTTACTGAGAGAAACACATTCATCTACCCAGATCCTATGTGGATGTACTGGGCTCGGACGATCTTCCCGCGCTGGTCGGATTTTGTGTTGCGTCGGGGTGGTCGATCGAGTGGGTTATTCGGTCGGGTTTTTTGGATTATGCTAGTTTCTGTTGGAGTGGCGGCTTTCGCTGTGAACTCGGCGTCGGTGGATGTTAAGAAGGTGGTGGCAATGGTTGTTGGTTGGTCTTCGCAGGCTGTTAAATGGCGTTGATGGGTTCTTCCGTATATCTAGATTTATGTCACTATAAGCTTACGTTTTATAACCCCTAAACTTACCATTCTTCACATACGTCCATGATAGCAAAAAATAAAAATAAAAATAAAAATAAAAATAAAAATAAAAAAACGTTAGATCGTTCCGGGGCAATCGGAAATTTCAAACATCTTCTCTAATTCAGGCTAAAGAATCCAGGACAGTCATCAATTTCACCAGGAAGCTATACCATTGCATACAGGGCTGCATAACCACTATCAGACACTGCTTACCAGTACCAAGGCCACCATCACAATCTATTCACGGAAATATTGCTTTTTTTTTTCTCTATTAATATTCACTCTAACATGTCACCTCAAACTTCATAAACAATCTTATAAGCCGAGATTTTCCCATCCCGATACTCCTGAAACCCTTTGCCAACCTTATCCAAACCAGACAATACCTTGGGGTTACTCGGCTTAACAACACCTTTCCCCAACCATTCAGGAACCTTCTCGAAAAGCTCAGTGCAAAGTTCGTGATCCGCTTTCGAAGCCTGGATTATGTTAGTTTTGATATGAAATTCAAGCTTTCCCTTATGAAAGTGTAAGGGCAAAAGAGTAGGGGAACATACAGGCCACTTAAACTCCCCATACGCATGATCCTTCAAGAAAGCCGTCCAAACTAACACGTCTGTGACCTTGGTACCACTGGCTACATTCTCTGTGTTTGCCTTCCCAGGCCGCACGGTACATAAACTGCCGTTTCCAGCGAGCGTATTTGAAGCAGTCGTTGACGAAGCCGACTGCCCGATCGTATCGAACACATACTTCAGATCAGGGGCGGCCTGCTTGATCTTCTTGGCAACTTGCGGATCCTTATAGTCGAAGACATGTTTTGCACCGTAGGAGCGGACCAGATCAGTGTGTTTGGCGCTACATGTTGTTACTACGTTCAGGCCGGTGATTGTGGCGAGTTGGATGGTGTAGAGGCCGACGCTTGCTGTCATTTGTGTAAACATTATTATGCTTTGCATGTAAAAGGACAGAGTACGAGACTTACAGCTACCTCCCCAAACCAACACAGTAGCACCGCTTGACCTATCAATGGCAAGACAATCCTTTGAAAACAGCGCAAGCCACGCCGTTGCCGACGCCAACGGGACAGTACTCGCATGTTCACGAGAAAGAGTGCCAGGAACCTTGAACGAGATGCGTTCGTCGGCTAGACAGTATTGGCTGTACCCGCCTAGGCCTTTTTTCTCGCCTAAATGACATGAATAAGCACTTATTCACCCCGAAAGAGGGGCAAGGGTACATACCTCCCCACACCAACCCCGCAATAACATCTCCCTTTGCATAGCGGGTAACACCACCTCCCAACTCAACGACTTCACCGACGAAATCGCAACCGAGAACGGCTCCGTCGCCGAATGCGTTGGAGTCAAAGGCTTGGACTGGATGGTGTTAGCAATCAAGTGCTTGAATGTCCTCGGAATCACTCCTGAGACAAGAAGGTGGAGATACGCACCATCAGTCGGGTTTTGTGCAACATGCGATAGATTGACAAGCACCTGATTCGATTCTGGGGATGGGATTTGGATGTCCTCTTTAGAGAGGCTTGGGGGTTGGCCGTCCGGGACGCGAACGATGACGGCTGTGTTCGATTTGGCTCCGGGCATTTTGTTGTATTCTTAGTTTTCAATAAATCTATAAGTCGATAAGTAAAACACTGCTGTCAAACACTGTGGTCGTATGTCTCTGCTGAGATATCAGATGCATATAAATACCAGAGCATAATGACGACATCGATCCTCTAGAGATACAGAAAGGCAAGTGGAAGCACCGGAAAGTGGACGCACTTTCAATGCAATATTTGTAAGCAGGTATTAATAACTAACTAATTCTCTAATTCTATACACAAACAAGTTGGACATGTTCAAGGTGTGTTTGTATTGGTGTAGGGAGTATGGAGTACCCCGGGAACTCCTTTCATAGACCACCTTATTGTACACTCGAAATAAGAATAGCGCCCGGGGCTAATCACCTTGGTCATTCCCAGAGGGGCTAAAGTTGTTAGCCTTCATACCAGTGAAATCCGTCGAACATGCTCGCATTTTCCTAAGTCGCAATCTAAGAGAAGGTGGATAAGAACCCCCTTCATGGTAATCTCTGCCGAGTCGGATTCTGGGCACTAAGGATGTCTCCATTGGGGCACTAAAAAGCAAGATCGAAAACATTCCTAACATAATGCTAATCTTCGGAAGCCAGGCTTCCCATTTGGGTTTAACGGGATGGTAAAATATCATGCGAAAACCAGGCAGCTGAAATGGTCCACCTCGAAGACCAACAGAATGGTTGAATATGATCCATGCCGCGCTATTCCGGTACTTCATACACCACTACCTATCCTCATTGAATATCTCATCTTTGATTCCGGTGGCAGAGTGGCAGTTTACACTGCTCTTTGATTGAGAGATTTAACTACATTAGCCTTCGAGCAAGGCTTTCCGTCCACCCAGCAGTACTTAGGCCACATGTTAAGCTTAGTCAACCGTCATTTTGCCCTTTCTCAGTGTCGCTTCTAAGGGTGATGACTTGGTGATCACTAGTTGGGTGCAGGTAATCGAGGTGAGCAGAGCCATGCAAAACCAATCACTAATTTTCCTCAGTAGAAACGTAAATGTTGGAAGATGGAAGGCTGGAATATGCTGATGAAAGTGGTAAACGTAATGCCGCGTAGATTCAGCTATGTTCGTTGAGGAGAATACCTCTTGGTCAACAGCAGTGTCTAAGCAGGCTCTGGCACGTTATGGCAAGATTCCACGGTAATCAGCAACATGATTAATTTCGGTGACCATTTTTTTAGCGCACTTGCTGAGAAGAGCAAGCCGTGGATCCGACACAACTCCCGGAGATATATCCCGTGGAGGAGTCTAGCATGATACAGAAAATGGAAGGGGTGGGAAGCCCTCTATATTGTTTCTACCAGAAAATACTGAATATCTTTGGGCAGGACAAAAGCAGGTGCATTCAACTCAGTTGGGGGACTGCAGCGTTGATCAGGATCCGGCCTAGCCGATCCAACCCTCACACCATTTGATCTTTGATTCTCCACAGGATCAATAGTGGAGCATTGGCTCCATCTACTGTTGCTAATTGGAAGCTGGAACAGGTACTGTGCTATGTAACACCATGCCCTGATCCTTGTATTCCTGCACAGCTTTCTCTATTTCTGGTGGCTGTGATGGCTGTGATGGCTGTGATGGCTGTGGCAAGTCAATGTGTATAACATTCATGTTTTTCCCTCAGTTGGGATCGTAGAGATATAATGTGATTGTCATTGTCATTCATGCATCACTCAATCCTTTACCAGGACTTCTCCCACCTGTCACGAACTTATTAGCTCGGAGATGAAACGAACTAATGAATAGATATCTACTAGATAGCCTATTGGCGAGGATTTCGAATCTGGAAAGGAAATGAAATAGGGGGAAGCCATCAAGGCGAGAGGAATGAAACCATCTACCGACTGTGCGATTGCATATGGGAGGGCTAGGGCTCCCCGTTGTTTGCTTGTACCGACCATCGGCTGTTGGCGGTCATTGAACGTTATATGCCTTATCGAGTAAACGATCAAAAGCTGCTCGGATTTGATAGGCAGTTTTGACATCCTTTTGCCACGAGCTTCGCTAGTCTCAGACCCACACTTTATATTTTTAACTACGAAGATACGAAAAATCCAGTCCATCGCCCTGCTTCGGAAGTGTTTGCTTGCCAAGGCCGTGATTTTTTCGTTTTCTGTTTTTCTTTGGCCACCCTTCTTATACATTTTTTTCTCTACAATCCTTTGTTTGCAATACCTTCTTTCTGTCTATCTGGTGGCTTCATCTCTCTAATTTGCATGTTCTACGTTCTAGAAGGGAGTCTTGACAGGAAAAGATTGATAAAAAGCAGCGCACAGACGCTTAAAGCCTTGGCCCACGGGTGTCCGGACAATACGGGCAGCCATGCCGGAGGACATCGTCTAATGCGACGTTAGGTCCGGGGCTCCCCTTGGCCCTTGGCGAATCAGATATCCTTCCGGGCTTGCCATTATCTGATCCGCCCACTAACCAAGCCCGATCCATCCATGGATTTATTCCTGCGCGCTAGTTGCCAGGAGATTGGTGATGGCACCATTCGGACATCTGCGAGAAGTTTAAATAATTAGTGGCCCGGAGTCCATGGCTGGTCTTTTTCATTTCATTTCTTTTCTTTTCTTTTCTTTCGTGTTTATCTATCTGCTAAAAAGTCCATGTCCGCCCTCTCGTTCTTTTGAGAACTGATACTCTCTTCTTTTACTTGGTGAATATACGCATTTCATCCAGCGTTGAAGATGGGTATTCTGGAGTTTGTTCGAGGTTCTGAAAAGACCACGACCGAGGCCAATGCTGCAGGTAAGATTTCTTATCAACCTAAAGGAAATCCTGATAGTAATCTCGAAGTCTCAAGAAAACAAACCGGAGAGAGAGAGTTCAGATGTACACGATACAGGAGATACCGACTCGCAGCCAGAACATGTTACAGAAAACGCGCATTTGGGTCTGCAAAAGGCCGAAGCTGTCGCGTTAGTATGGGGTAAAAAGGTTGTGTGGTGTACGTACGCCTGGTAAGACTTTCGACCGTCTTCCCATACCGGCCATGATCTAATACCATGGAATGAATGTCTAGGATCTGGATATGCTTCTTCATGCTGGCGCTCCAGTCAGCTATCAGCCTCATTGCCCAGCAAACAGCCTATGCTGGGTTTATGGCCGCGCCAGCCATCAGCACGGCGAGTATCCTGGCCAGCATCGTTGGCGGTGTGCTCAAGTTACCCGTCGGTAAAATTTTGAATATTTGGGGTCGAGCTGAAGGGCTGTGCGCCTCTTTGGTTGTCTATCTCCTAGGTCTCATCATATTGGCATCATGCAATGGTCCCTCGTCATACGCGGCAGGCTACGTATTATACTGGGTTGGCTACGACGCCATTTACCTTATTCTGCAGGTCTTCATTGCCGATACATCCGGCCTGCGGAACAGAGCCTTCGCCTTCGCCTTTGCCAGTACTCCATTCATCTGCACAGCCTTTACTGGCTCATTGGCCGGAGAAAACTTCGTGAACAAGACTGGTGGATGGCGCTGGGCCTATGGTGCCTTCTGCATTATCATGCCAGCTGTCTTCTTGCCTCTCGCTGTGGTGTTCAAGTTTCACGAGCGGAAGGGACGGAGATTGGGTCTTTATGAACATGTGCGTAGCGGTCGTACTATCGTTCAGTCCATCGTGCATTATTTTCATGAGTTTGATAGTGTGTATTTCATCTTGTGATAAAACTTATGAAAGTTTCCACGCTAACATGTCTAGTCATTGGTGCGCTGTTACTGATGGCTGGTTGGATTCTCATTCTTCTGCCCTTCAGCTTGGCATCCTACGGACGAGCCGAGTACAAGAGCGCCACTTTCATTGCGATGTTTATTGTTGGTTTCTTCACGCTCTTCCTATTCGCTGCCTGGGAGAAGTTCGTTGCGCGCGTGCACTTTGTTGACTATAAGCTGATCAAGAAGCGCACGGTGCTGGGTGCTTGTATTCTCACCACTATCACCAATTTCAGCTTTTACTGCTGGGATTTATATTTCCTCTACTTCTGCACTGTTGTGTTTGACCTTAGCCAAGGTATGGCTGGCTATATGACGCAGATCTACAATGTTGGCTCATGTTTCTGGGGTGTTGTAATTGGACTCTGGATGCGTTTCACCAAGGAATTCAAATACACTTGCCTGTTTTTCGCAGCCCCCCTTTTGATCCTGGGGGCTGGTCTAATGATCAAGTTCCGTGGTGAGGGTGGTGGTGACATCGGCTATGTTATAATGTGTCAGATCTTCATTGCTTTCGGGGGTGGTACTTTGGTTATTGGCCAGGAGATGGCTGTCATGGCTGCATCTGACCGTGAAGGCGTCCCAATGATGTTGGCACTTATTGGTCTCTGCCAAAGCCTGGGCCTTGCCACTGGAGGTGCTGTCCAGTCAGCCATCTACAACAACGTTTTTGTTGATGCGCTGCGATCAAAATTGCCGAATGACATGAAGTCTCAAGCCATGGAGATCTCAAACGCTGGTTATTTGGCTCAAAAACAATACCCCCTGGGCTCTGACCAACGTAATGCCGTCAATTACGCCTGGGGATACAGCCAGAAGTACGGCTGTATTGCTGCCACAGCGATTCTGGCGCTTGCTCTTCCGAGCATTGCCATATGGAAAAACTACCGCTTGGACAAGAAGCAGAACAAGGGCACAGTGCTCTAGATCTTTATTGGCTATGGGGCACGAAGAAAAATTTTTTTTTTTTTTTTTTTTTGCGAATAGAATGGGTATGTAGTCATATTATGGGTAATGTATATGTCCTTGTTCAACATCATGTGAGCAAGGAACGTGATCGGGGAAGTTCTGCTTGTAATCTTGTTATGCTATAAAAATATAAGGATTATGAGGTTAATAAATTATATTTTATTATATACAGTGTAGAGTAGGCTGTGGCATAACCGTAGGTCCCCACGGGTACCCATGGGTATATAAACATAATAAACCTGCCAAGGCTCGTAATCTGGCCAGCAGTTATAGATTATGCAGTTTCTGAGGTATTTTTTAGAGTATCTAGCTTGTAATGGGTTACAAGAAGCTGATTTCCGGGGAAATAGATGTCACGGCGCTCTACTAGGATAATCGAAGATCCAACTCATGGGTTCTACCTAGGTAGCTATCGACGAGAATAATCAACATGAGGAAGGAAGAA